AATGCTACCACTTTCATTAATCAACTCCAAGAAGAAGATTTTATGAAAAACTCAAAAACTCTCATCATTGGGGATTTCAACACAGATTTACTAAAAGATGAAGCTAGTGTGAAAAGATTGAAACAAAGTACTAACATTATGAAGCAGTATATAACTACTCCCACACATAGGGCAGGAGGCTTACTTGATCATATATATGCCAACCAATGTGCCAGAGATGATGTTATATCTAGTGGCACATTTGACTGTTATTACTCGGATCACTGTGGACTATTTGTCATTCTTGAACTTGACAAAGTATCAACATAGTGTGGTACAGCTTACTACTATGATAATGGTAATGTGTGTTCAGCATCATATGGTGAAAAACATTATAGACTTTGTTGTAGCCAGATGCATTGCAGATAATTTGTGTCAGCCATATTAAAATTAAAGGCAGAATACATTACAATGTTTTGTAAGAGAGCCATATTAAAATAAATTGCTCAATTGACAACTGAAGGCAGAATACACAGTAATATTTTATAAGAGATCCTAAGAAAAAAGTCATGTCTGTATCATTGTAATATATGAGAATCTAAGGCAATAAAGGCATGTCTTTGTATCTTTGTAATATATAATGTAAGAGAATGTAAGATAAAAAGTCATGCCTCTGTATCATTGTAATGTACGAGAATCTAAAAGAAAAAAGTCATATGTTTGTATCTTTGTAATATATAATGTAAGATAAAAAAGTCATTTCTTTGTATCATTAAAATGTACGAGAATCTAAGAGAAAAAAACTCATGTCTTTGTATCTTTGTAATATATATAATGTAAGAGAATGTAAGATAAAAAAGTCATTTCTTTGTATCATTGAAATGTACGAGAATCTAAGACAAAAAGTCATGTCTTTGTATCTTTGTAGTGTACGAGCAAGTTCTTTAGTCATTTTGTTCCAATATACATACTTACTTAACTTAAGTAAAATGTCCGTTAACCATTGAGTAACTCTTTTGTAAACTTCAAATATTACTAGAGACAAGTTATTTCGATTATGAAGCCACCATTTTTATGCTATGTGCATCCTATCATGTTATCTTTATGCTATTCTGACATATCAAAACACTGACTAACTGCTAAAACATGTCAAACATTGACTAAAATAAAATGTAAGCAAACCTAAGGTACCAGCCTACTGTATGTCTTTATAATATCATGTGTAAACATATATAAAACCTGGTTGCCAACTAGCCAAAGTGTCATAAGACAGTATTATGAGTAATTCAAAAATCAAATATAAACAAAATCTCTCTTTTACTTTCGATATACTAAAAAACAAAAAATAAATAATGGCAGCCATTTTCAAATAAGACAGTGTGCCATGCTTAAGAGTATTCACATACCAAATATAAACAAAATCGCTCCACTATTTTACACTAAGTTACAGCAAAAACTGTAAAATAGTATGTAAAGGCCACCATTTTACAAGATGGCTGTCATGTGTTTCTTAAATATCTACATTTTTAACTTTATTATGTTCTATATATCTTCTTTACATTAAAAACACATTGGAATTACATTTTTATATATTGTATCCAAATTTGTGTAAAATCGGCACTTAAATGGACGCCATTTTGAAACAAGCAGCCATTTTCAAAATCAGCTTTCGAGCAGAACTTCTACCCCCATAGAGCATAAGTGTACAAAATATGAACAAAATTGGGCCAACGATATTTGAGTTATCGTCCAGACGGACGGCCGCCTTCTACCAAAAGTGTCATTAGACAGTGTTACATGCTTATATTATTCACATACCAAATATGAACAAAATTGCTCCACTACTTTTCAAGTTATAGTAAAATAAGTTAAAATGGCGGCCATTTTTCAAAATGGCCACCTTCTACCAAAAGTATCATTAGACAGTGTGCCATGCTTATAGTATTCACATACCAAATATGAACAAAATCGCTCCACTACTTTTCGTGTTATAGTAAAATAAGTTAAAATGGCCGCCTTTTACCAAAAGTATCATTAGACAGTGTGCCATGCTTATAGTATTCACATACCAAATATGAACAAAATCGCTCCACTACTTTTCCAGTTATAGTAAAATAAGTTAAAATGGCGGGAAAAATGGCCGCCTTCTACCAAAAGTGTCATTAGACAGTGTCCAAAATGGCCGCCTTTTACCAAAAGTATCATTAGACAGTGTGCCATGCTTATAGTATTCACATACCAAATATGAACAAAATCGCTCCACTACTTTTCGAGTTATAGTAAAATAAGTTAAAATGGCGGCCATTTTTCAAAATGGCCGCCTTCTACCAAAAGTGTCATTAGACAGTGTGCCATGCTTATAGTATTCATATACCAAATATGAACAAAATCGCTCCACTACTTTTCAAGTTACAGCAAAAATCGTAAAATAACGAGTAAAGACCGCCATTTTTCAAGATGGCTGCCATGTGCTTCTTTAATATCTACATTTCTAGCTTTATTAATGTCCTATATAATTTTTTTACATTTGAAACATATTATGTTATAGTTTTTAATATTGCACCCAAATTACTGTAAAATCGGCACTAAAATGGCCGCCATTTTTGAATCAGTGGCCATTTTGAAAATCGGCTTTCGAGCAGAACTTCTACTTCCATAGGGTATATGTGTACAAAATATGAACAAAATCGGGCCAGCGGTATTTGAGTTATTGCCCGGACGGACGGACGGACGGACGTACGTACGTACGGACGGACGTACGTACGGACGGACGGACGTACGTACGGACGGACGGACGTACGTACGGACGGACGGACGGACGGACGGACGGAGGCGTTCCCTATATCCCTCCGAACTTCGTTCGATGGGATAAAAATCAAATTTGTCCGAAGCAGGGATAATGCTCATATAGATTGATGAACTTCGTTCTCCAAACCGAGAATCGTCCTTTAAAAACATTAAAGGTACACATTTTCTCAGTCTTAAAAATAAGTTTTTCATGAGATTTTCACTCATATTGCTTGAACAAATTAATTAATTGATATCAGAATTAAAATATATAACATGAACATAGAACCTCATTTGTTCGAGTATAGCAAAATCCATGGTATAGATGTCAAAGTCAGGAAGATGTCGTAATTCAAAATCTAAGTATATTTTTCAGTATAAAGGACGATTCTCGGTTTGGAGAACGAAGTTCATCAATCTAAATGAGCATTATCCCTGCTTCGGACAAATTTGATTTTTTTACATAATATAGATTTGAATGTCTTCTTTTGAATAGTCATAATTTAATTTGGGTAATATTTCTAGATTTTTCGCAAAAAAATATTAGCGCAGTACACTGATGAACTTCTTTCCCCAAATCGAGACTTGTATTTTATTGAATCGGTCTATTTGAGCGTTATCCCTGCTTCAGACCAATTTGTTATTTTTACATCTTGTAGATTTAAATGTCCTCTTTTGAATATTCATAGTTTAATTTGGGTAATATTTCTATATTTTTCATGAAATTTTTTTTAGCCCAGGAGGCTGTTCTCCAAACCGAGAATCGTCCTTTACAATTAAATATGCCCTTAAATTTCAGTATATTTTTCAGTACATATTTGCACTTAAAATCACACTTAAATTTCAGTATATTTTTAAGTACATATTTGCACTTAAAATCACACTTAAAATTCAGTATATTTTTCAGTATAAATATATACTGAAAAATGTACTTAAAATTTCAGTACATTTTTCAGTACATATTTATACTGAAATTTGCACTGAAATTTTAAGTATATTTTTCAGTACATATTTATACTGAAAAATATACTTAAAAATTCAGTACATTTTTCAGTACATATTTGTACTGAAAATGCTCCTTTCAGTACAAATGCTCTGCCCTAGTGACATGTTCACCAACATTAGAAAACATTATAACATCTAACATACACCATCAATAGATATTGTAACAAACCTTTCATCTGTAAATATGAGTACTTGAAAAAGTTTGAAGCATAAGGAGCCTTTTAGAAATTATAAGAGGTGCATGCATCACATTTGTATTACAAAGTCATTTTGATGATGCAATTTGTAGGCTGTTATGATTTTTTACAAATTAGGGTCAACTTTCAACTTAACTTCACACACTCTTAAAATTGATTATGATAAAAATAAAGGACAAAAACATACCTCAGTTCATGATCTTTCAAAGAAACTCAGACTCCAATGTGTGCAAACTTACAAAAAACATTTACTTCTCGTTCTTAGAAGTTGAACATTCAAATTGTTCCTAGGTCATTCTCAGAAGTTCAACAAGTTTATACTTTTTATTAACTTATAAGTAAGTTGTTGACATCATTTACTTTTGTACAGTGAGCAAACACCCTTTTGTCTTTTTGTGTTTTGTGCAAACACCCTTATTTATTCTCAAGTTCTTCGAAAATACAATATGTCTAGAATTAAAAACATTTCCTTTTACATATGACAATGGGTTAGCGTATTTTCAAATATTACAATATGTGTTTTCTACATAAAATTGTCCCATAATTCTATCATATCATTAATCAATTCTTATAGAAAGGTTTTTAATAAGTTAATACTTCACTGATTTATTTGTGTCTTATGTTTATGGTCCTATCGACTCCTCTGTCCATATTATGAGATTGCCTGATAATTCCTAGCTTCGTTCTCGATCGTCGTTTACCTATCTGTGAATTTTGAATCCTATCGCTCAAATGTGATCATGAGATACACCTAAACCTAAAATCATTTGATTTTTGTTAACATAACTTTTATCTACAACAAAAATCAGAACTCATTTGTTCACTCCCACTTGATAATATTTTTATCAAATTATGGATAAGAATGACACATAATACAAAATATCACTTTGTAGAACATGTGTAAAAAGGAACACCTTACTGAAGTGTTCCACGTATGCATTTCAATCACAGAGGTGTTCCATTTGGAAGTTTTTACTACATGTATACATATTATAGGCTCTATCAATATACAATGTATTCTCTTTATTTCAGATTTATGAAGGTTTCTACCACCAGATTCACAAAGAGGTTGGTGAAGGAGGTCCCATGGTACGACAGGAAATCGTAGATTGGGTCTTAGCTCACATCTGATTGGGCAATATTTGTATCCTTTTCAAAAGTGGTACTGCATTTGTAGAAACTAAGAACAACAACGAAAAGTTTCGACCTGGACAAAGTACTTGCATAAATCAAAATGAGTGGCCTGAAATATAGGCGAAAATAAATGGACAAAACAAAATGAGAACTGCATGACAAGTTAAAATAAACTATTTAAGTAGATACACTGAAAAGAATTGATTGACTGAACACCAGTTAAACACCTACCTCAAACATTGAACCTTTTGGATTATTTCGTATTTATTTAAGTGGACCAAAAATATTAAACAACTTTGATATTATGTATACTGTGTCTATACAGCAGCAGCAAGAAGCAGCAGTACTTATACTGCGGTATAAGTACTGCTGCTTCTAGTCTCAAATTAGAGACAGAAACCTGGGTGTCAATTTAATCATTATCATTATTTAATCATTATATACTATAATATGGATTATAAGGATAGGGAAATGCATGCAGTAGGATTGGATCCCAATATTTTCCAATGATGAATCCGATCTTGAAGGATGTCATGATTTTCACTTCAAATTTTAAACTGGAGTTGTGGTTTATTACGTAACAAAGAAATTCAAAACAGACACGAAGTGATCAAAATATTAGCTTTTGGATTGCTGATTATGATTTTATAACCAGTTTAATGTCAGAAAATAACATTCTAGCATTTTCATTGTTTGAAAATATCAAGATTGCATTTTGGGATCCAATCTTCGTTGGCATGATAACTAACATATTAACTACACAACTGCCATCTTTGTAGTGGCCTGAAACCTATTATTATATGTCTCTGTATATGTCTCTGAACAGCTTTTGCACTTGATAGTACATGTAATAATATAGATGTCACTTAATTATGGGCATGATATCATAATATGTTTCCTGATTTTATGTGAACTTTATGTTTGTGCATGGGTTCTAACGAGACCTCATCCATGCGCATTTTAGACTTCTCATTTAGCTTATCATACTGCCAAATACCGCTGAGCAAAGTTCTAGTCAGTACCTTATTGTCACTTGTGTGTTAAATGCAATATTCTGTCTGCCTGTCTTACCTATATGCTCATAATAGTTTTGATGAACTCACTGTTTATATTTTCAGTCTTATTTGTACCCATGGTGCTATACATTTATATGTTTTTTGTGACTTGATATTGAATGTAAACAAAATTGGATTGCTATATTTAAAAGATCAAAGAGGCCCCAATATTTTCCTTAGTTGGACAGACTTCTTGAATTTTAAAATTGCTCCAAACATGATTTTTGTTAATGGATTTCACACTCCAAGACATATTTATAGGTTTTACAATTTGGTTAATCATCAAGCTTCTATGGTTTTTCAATAAAGGAAAATCTGGGGAGTCTTATGTAGTGTGTTCTGTGTAGTAAATTCTTTTTACTATAGAATTAATATTAGGCTTTCTATGCCAACCTTTACTATTGTGATTTAACAAAAAGTATAGGTTCACCAAAATATGATATACATTGTGTGACAATTTATACTGTAGAGATGGGTTGAAAACCCAAATTGGTTGATGTACATTTTTTAATTTTGATAGGTGTAATATAGCATTTTTTTGAATTGTATAGGGATTAGGTCAGTGTTTCAGTGTTGTCTAAAATGTAATTCAGATTCCCATCCCCCAAAATGTAACTTACATTTTTTGACTTTTAAATAAAAAGTTTGTCTCAAAAAATCAATGTTTTTCGATCAAACAAGTGAACTTCTACCCCCTCCCACAAATATGATCAATTACATTTTGTGGCCATACACTGAGAAACTGACCTGTTTTTTTAAAGAGAGAATCAGAGATAGCGAGCAGGCTAAACAAAAAATTGTTTCAATTTTAAAATATTTTTGGCTCAGGTCATTCCTTGTCATGTCTATTTTCTAAAAATCACAAAAGTGCAGATACTTTATTCAAGGAAAACGAAGGATTTTTCCAATAATGTATTATTTTTCTTCAAGAATGGTAACCATTCTTATTATTTGGGAGAATTTAAACATTTTTCACCCATTTTTGCACTTAGAATCATTTATAACTTCACCAATTTATAACATATTGTGAATCTTTTGGGAGATATTGTATCTGATATTGTAAGGAATAGATTTGTAGGTCAATTATACAAGTTGCTTGTAATTTTGTCACCCCCTATAGATCTGATTCTGCCTTTAATCTAGATAAATAAATGTTATTATATATTATAAGGTACCAGACCCAAGGTCCATACTCATATTTAAGCGTATTTATATAACTTTATAAGGTTGTTAAAATTAATGTTTTTTATTATGTTGTTAATATATAATATTAAAATAAAAGTTAACACAATTAATTATATATAACCTGTATGTATATTTTATTCAATGTTTATTTACAGTACATGTATAATATATTGAAAATGAATGTAATAATGAGTATTATAATGATGTTGAAAATGTACCATGCAGTAACTGTAAACAATTTGGTGTACATCGTATTATTGGAGAAATGAATATAACTCAAATCATGGACGTGAAGAATCTTCCAACTCCATGTATAGAAAATCGACAAGATGCTTGAATAGATAAGATTCAACTAAATTAAACAGCATCAAATTAAAGTTATAGTACATTTATTATAAATACATGTATATCTATTTAGCCACTTAATCTCAAGTCAACATGTTACCTAAAAGTTCTTTTTGTGGTTTTTGAACAATTTGTATCACAGTTATATCACCATTATCTCATTTGCTCCGATTTTCAATACCCGAGTCCAGCCAATGAGTATTTTGTTCAAAATTGCATTCAGTTTTACTCATCGCTTCGGCTAGGCCCCAGTTTTGAAAATCTGCGCAAATGACCTATAGGCATTATTCAATGCATTGGAATCTAGATCTGGTTTAGGAAACATCGTACTGTGTATTGTGCACTATAGGTTCCCACAAAGAATCAATGAATCGTGATATTAAAAAATATAACGCCAGAAGTGTACTGACTTGACAGAAAGGGATAGATGTTGTCAAAGTACTATCTAAATGCATGCCAAGTTTTTGCTTACAATCCTAAATTTATTATTATCTTAAAAAGAATTATGACATCTGATTTAATTTGGAAATTATGAAAAATTAAAGATGCAGAAATGTCCATTTATTAGAATTGGAAAAAAGGGGCAACATGAATTTTTCAAAATTATTGCCCAATAAAAATCAAAGAATTCTCTTGAAATATAGTTAGAACTGTTAAATTTTGGAACATTTTTTAGAAAATAACTCCAATGGTTAATCTATAGGTTTTGTTATATTACCTCTTTAAGTGCACATTAAATCAATGAATTAAAGACGAGACTAGACAGATTCCAAATCGATAGAATCGCCTCAGGTTATGAAACAACATGTAATGACTACATCTATTTATCCATCAACGTCAATGAAATAAATGAATGCCACTCATTCCTTGAAATCTTTTCATACATGTATATCTATGGTCGATATTTAATCAGTTGAATATCAAAAAGATTTTTTTTAAATTAATATCTACCATTTTTACAAAAATCCGATCAAAAGGCGAATGATGTTGCTCAAGTTGAAGTTTTTTTGTAATATTTGTAATAGAATCTACAAGTAGAAGGGTTTATAATCAGTGAATACTTCACCGAATCGTTAGTTAAAATTTAACCCAATGTTAATATCTTTATTTATATAATCATTCATTTTCCATTCTATGCAAATAAAATAAAGTATAAGCTTGGAAAACATAAAAGCATTCAAGCGATTCACAGAAAATCGATAAATATCCTTGGTCAAATAAGAACAATTTCAAGGACAATACCAACTCTTCACTAAATAAAAAATGAATACTTTCTGGAAATAATAAAACCTCCTTTGTGGTTGCTTTAATTTAAACTTTAAACTGGTTAATTTTCTTGCATTCTTTCATGCCTATTTTTTATTTTATTCTTTATATTGACCCCACTCTGTAATGCATTCCAAAATATGACCACAAGACCATTTTCGCTCAAGGAGTGATTGATTGATTAGAAGTGCACGAATAGAGCCACATTAGAGGTAAAGAACCGCAAGTCACGATTGTTCACAGTCAAAACTCAATCAATCAAGAGGGGCAAAACATCTAACTATTGTCTTTCTCCTTAAACATATACCCTGAAGAACAATATTTTAGTTAAGGGAGAAAGACAAGAGAAACCCATGTATGCCAACAGGTTCAAATCAATGGAGTACTGCCTAAAGACAATACAATAGTAAGAGGCCCAAATCAATTTAGTTTACACTTATGAATCAATAGAAGTACATATCTCTATGCACCTGTGTCTGTATCATGGTGCCTTCAGTTTTCAACCATATCTGATATAATATTTGATACAAGCTTTTAAGAATAAATCCCATTTAGTAATTTGGATTTATTTTTATTCAATTTCAGAGAATCTTAAACATAAAAATACATCCATAATACATTTGCATTGGTTTTCAATAGTATTTGACAAATCGTAGCTTTATATCCCATTTGTCTCTTACTTGAATTTGTTTAGATTAATGTGATTTATTCATAGAAGAGCATAGACTATCTATCAGGACTGTCAGCTAGATGCAGCTTCTCTCTCTATGCAATGTAATGGCTCATTTTCTTCCTCATCCCCCTCATGGTACTCAGGCTTAATCATGCCATCCTGACCCCGCTCCCTTCTGTCAGCATGCACCCCTTTGCCATACACAGTTGACTGCTCACTGGCCATGTACATGTACAGCCTAAAATCACAAGCAATTTGGTTTAAAGGTCAATCAAGATTTTTTTCTTAACAAGGGTACAACCAGGTGGTTTTTGTATATACATGAAATTAACAGCCTAAAACATATAAGCTATTATTGCATATTAATTTCATTTAAAATTTGTGAATCTGTCAAATACGGAGAAGAGACCGAACAGCAGCCCCATGATAATGTTAATGAGCCAGGTTTCTATAGATTTAGGATTACCCTTATAGAGCTTGCTATGTCTAAATGAGAGGGTCAAAGAAATATATCTTTAGCCTCTGGGTCTCTGTGTTTAGAAATAAATGCTTATATAAAAATACACAGGTTGGCCACAAAGTCTCTACAATTACAATAAAAATCTGTGTAAAGTGTAAACCTTATGGACACCCTGTAATCCTTTACATTAGACTACTGTACATACACTTCCCTCTACCATTACTACAATTAGACATTCACTTCACGACTGAACCTCTTGCAATTTCAACTGATAAAATCTTATTCTGTGACATATGTTTGTCCATGTAGTGGCTATACTTAAATTGTAATTGATTTATAATTCACCTGATAATTGGATAGTTAATTTCCAGAGCAGGTTGCAATCAATATTTTATTTAATGGCAATATGTGAAATCAATTTTCATGTGAAGTTCAGGTGAATCATTACCATGCACCTGTGCCATATAGGACTTAAAAAACTTTAAATGTTAAGTCTAATGCAAGTCTCTGATAAAATAGCCTGTGTAATATTGGCGAGTGTAAATATGTGGAATATCAATTTTTTTGAGTTTTGCATTATGCTGTGTAATGAACATGCAATAATCCAGACCAACAGTCAAGGTTCATTATTGCTTAATTTCAGCTGATTCCATACATGCCTTATCAATAATTTATCTAATAGCTGGGTCTTAAGTCTTCAGCCCATGTGAGAATATTATGCTCAACTACATGCATTTCAAATGTGCAACAAACAGCATGCAAGTTACAACAAAAATGTTTCATTTGCAATATTTCTTTCTAAGCTGTTTGAAAATAAAATTGAAACATTTCTGTTTTTAAAAGGAACTGTTACATTATAAAGTAGCAGACATAAAGCTTAGAAAAGCAATACATAATGCTAAGTTTAGTTTATATAAGAGTCATTGACATATGAGGTATGTAGCCACGATTCAGGGTTTTCAACATCAGGACCCACCGTTGGTTTATGAATTGAGCGCAGGGTTGGCAAATTTTCTGTGGTAATAAGAGCCCTGGCTATGGGATGCATAGTCTCTGTATTAACCCCTTGGACTGTGGTCATGCTTTGGCAACTTGGGGAGCTTGTGTCATCATCTTGATTGGCAGGTTTTGTAGTTGTGTCATCAAATGTTGTATCACTTGAAGGGTTTCTCTCACTGATGTTTTCAACATGAAGATTATTGATGGCTTGACTACTTGTATTGTCTTTGGCATTATTAGCATCATTTACATTTGGAATCTCATCTTCAATTGTGTCTGTTGAGCCAGATGTGATATTTTCTTTGCTACACCTATTTTTGTCAGAGTTATGATTCCCTTTTTGTACATTTGTGAAGTCCCTCATTTCAATACTGGCTGAGTCAGCAGGTATGCTATATGTCCCTTTTAAGGGGCCACATCTATTTTTTGTGAGTGACGTTATAATGTTAGAAATATTGAAACTGGGCGATGTACCCTTACGCAAGAGAACATCATGAATTTTTGAATGTTCCGCATTACTGGGTTTCCTTGAGAGTATTTTATCCTTAATATCAAGATTGCCATGTTTCATAGCGAGTTTGTTCCTGCTGTCAATATTACTTAGTTTTCTGACCAGATTGCTGGAAGCATTACTAAGTTTCCTCACAATGCTCCTGGTTGGGGATTCACTAGCGTTTGTTGGGATATTGTCACGCCGTTCAGATGAAGATTCAGTTATCTTTAACCCTTTTATAGAATCATTGTCCATCTTTAATGAGCTAGGCTCACTGCCTCCAACAGCTCCATTTTGGTTAAGGCTAACCCTATTCTTCTTTTCGATTACTTTAGTACTTTTAGCATAGACATCTTTGCTGCTACAATAGTCTTTGTTACATGTGTTATTAACTTCTGGGTGAATTCTGGGTGCACCGTCTTTGTTGGGCATTGTATTCACAACAACATCTGCTTGTGGCTTGTTTGAAACATTAAGGGTGCTACATTCATTCACAGTATCACAACATAAAGGTACAACAGATTGAGCATTAGTGCTAACAACACAGTTAGGATTATAAAATGGTTTCCTATTATCACCTATAGGGGAATTTTGAACACTCTCATTACCAATGTTACTTATTACATTTTTTGTATCTTTAGTAACTGTGGTAATGTTAGTGCTCGAACAATGACTTTCAGGTGAGTTAGGTGTGCTTGAAGCAGGTGTGCTACTAGAAGGTGTGCTATAACCACTGCTAGCACTACAACTTGGTCTAGGTTTATTAGTAGCTCGTATGGCAACAGTCTCCCCACAACTAGACACAGCTGAATCTGAATAAACATACCTGTCTGATTTGACGGTATTACCAAGCGATACTCTCCCACTGTCTGTATCACTAGAATTATTCATATCATCATCTAAGTCTCTGTACACTTTATCAAAGCACTCGACTACAATCGCTTGTGCTTCTTCTATGCTAGGTGGATTACAGTTGAAATTAGTTGTCTGTATTTTAGGGCTATCTGTGTTGGTGTTAGTCCGAGATAATGTGGCATCCTGGAAATATACATCGGGATTGTTTTCACTATAAACTTGTAGCACTTGTGATTCTGGAAGCTGGTTGTCCATGTTAACTAAACTATCATCAGATTTTACTGTGTTCCCTTCTTGAAGATTAGGCATTGCTTCATTATCATCCGTGAATGTTGTATTATCAAAGCCGACAAGCTTTTCGTTTCTGGTTCTTTCATGTTCCGGAGATTTCTCCTTATCTGCCAACCACATTTCTCTGGCACTTCGAAATCTTGTGTTGTACCGTTGCCTTTTTCGCTTTTTGTACATGCTGTAACATTTCATAGTTATAACTACAATAATGATGAATATAACGGGAGCTGCTCCACTTATTCCTAAACATATGTAGGCAAATAGGTTTACTGGTAGACCAAGGATGAGTCTTGGTTCTGGAGTAGTTGCACTGTAATTTACAGAGACATCTCTTTCCAGATCACTGGCATTGATCAAAACAGTCGTGGAAAAATTTAGCATTTTGGTGTTTCCTATGGCAGAATGCATCCTTCTTGATATTTACGCTTCATCTACATTGAGTGAGTGTAACGTGAGTTATCACTTGTAACTATATTTCATTTCCATTTTCTTTAACAGTAACAATAATCCAAGTTATGTAGCTGCTTACAACATTGTTTTTTATCTCAATAATCTGAATTTTATAGTTATGGTCACTTTTTTGTCATGTCTTGTTGATACCATCCACTACTAGTTTTTTGTATTCTTTAGTAGTCACTTTTTAGCGTCGAAGTGATTGAAGTCTGTATTGCATCAATAAATGCAATAAATGAATCTGTAAATGGTTCTTCCACGATACTCCAGCTATAATTGCTAGTAAGTTAGTTGAAGGTACTGTATTATAGCAGTGGGATCCAGACACTTATCTGATCAAGATAAGAATGTAATTTCTTTAATTTGCTACTTTTACTGTAATGAGCGCAATAAAGGAATTTGACTCACTGTTCTCGCAAATCAATAAGACATTTATGTTACTTATTACCAAACTTTTTCCTGTCGTGATCCAATAATATTCATCCTTCGTCTCAAATTATTTAGTAACTTAATAACACTTAAAGCTGTCTTGTGTTACTATAAGCCCTTTAGGAATCACGTTGACTTTGAAAGTCAATAATGAGCATTGAGTAGAGTTATGATTATTTCAGTGATATTTTTGCTCACTTTAGCGCAATCGTTTAATAATTTATTAATCCCATCGTACAATCCTTTAATGTTTCTTCATGGAAGTCAGTACATGTATATAATGAGTTCCCTAACTTATAATATGGATGATACAAATGTATATGAATACTGAATACTATATATTCAGAAAAGTGATAATTTGTAATTTGTAATCCATTCTTTGAATCATCTATCCTTGTCTATTTCCAGACAGTTCCTGTTATCCATTGCTACAAAATTGATGTTATTTGCTTTTAACGACACTTTTTATACTGCTGAAAGCCCTTCAGAATCCCTTACTGATGCCTAATAATCCTTGTGGCTTTTACATGATATTTAATGGAGATGTGGCTATCGTCATTCAAATGAGCACAGCCAAATATAAAAGAAATACATCCTCGGGCTATATTATCGCAAGTTCATATTTTAATATCAATAAGAATTCCCCTTGGTTGAGTTAAATCAACAATGTGTATAAATGCTGATGTATGGATCAGTGTGATGTCATTTCTAATTACACGTACTCTTGGATCATGTGTAATTTCCTCCATTAGGGAACAAGATATTCAACTCTTGGGAGAACCCTATGTCTGTTTTGTGGACGATTGATCAATTTAAACCTCGTGTAATTCACAAAAAATTGATATGCTCTTTTTTAATACTCAATACAAGTCATTAAAAATCTTATCGTGCATATTAGCACTTCCAATAATGTTTAATTTCCGTTCATGTTTCAGTTGCGTCGAAGTCTATATATTGCATTGAAGTTCTTATTTACAATCAATTACTGTACTGCGCTGTTTTGTAATGTTTTCCTGTTATGACCGAAGGTATCAATAGAGTCAGCATGACTTACGTAGCGATTTGTAGAATTCTATCATAGCCCATCCTTTGGTTAGAAGATCAGGTTGATTGGATAAGCATGATTCATAGTATAATCAATTTTATTTTATTATTTCATTGTTTTTATTACAAGTTTGTACAATCAATATTTTCCTTTAATCATTGTACAATGTATTTCAAATTGTTTTTTGCCTGTCTTTGATTTTCTTAGATATCACCCAGTCAAATGTAACTGTTGTACTACATTAAACATACACAAGAGATTTTATGACAAATTACGAGTGATATGAATTTCCATCCAATATCCTTTAATTTCCTTGTAATGTATAACTTCATTCATATCGCATCGTTATTTTACAATATTCCATCCAAATTGCTAAGCATGAGCATATCTTTAATTGTATTGCTCGACACAGGTTGTTTTCATCCAGGCAGAATGTGTATAGGATCTATATGTACAAGCTGTTACATACCGCCATTCACAATGTTTTCATCAACTATTCATTTCTCAATTCTGTTATTAATTTTTCGCGAGTTATCGTTCAATGTGTGTGGTGTAGTGTAGTGAGTTAATGATAGGTCATGTTGTCTACTGTTCTACCCTGCATGGCTCTGCATTGATTTTTTTATTCTCACTACAAGCTCGGTTTCAATCTAAAATGGGAAAGACCATCTCATAATCAAACAAGAAATACCCCATGGGAAACATTACCCAGAGAGGTACCACATACTCTTAATTAGTATTCCTAAACATGCCTGTATCAGTTCCAATCCTCAGATGGAGCTAATGGACAAGATATTGTCCATCTTCCGGAAGATCAGTTATTTCAATGTTAGTCTCGCGTTTAAGAATTATTTCATTACTGGTATTAGCAATTCATTCTATCTCCTGGTATTGTCTCTAAATTCAATTTCCAGCTTATTTAGAGCTATCTATTTTCACTTAATTTAACGGACAGAATTGCTATTATGTCTGGCCATTTTGTGGCGGAGGAAGCTAAGTTAAATAGACATGGCACAAACACGTCATTTTATTCCTTTGTTCGTTATTAAAATTACTCGCTGTTTTTTATTTTTTACAATAAATACATCTTTTATCTAACAGGACTAAAACAACATGTAAACTTGATTAATGACAAATGTTATATTTTATTTCAATTATTAATTACAGCAAGACACAATTTTTTCAATAATTGCATGACCATTTTGCAATTAGACAGACCTCACTTCGGATATAATCATTTCTATTATGATCACTTCAAAACCTCAACAGATGTTGAAAACATCAATAAAAAAACAGTTAACATCACTATTTGGTTGATCTAGTTTTTTAAACTCATTAAAATTATCTTTATAAATTGGCATTGGTTAAATCAGAAATTTGTTGTTTCAGTCATGTTTTATATTTGAAATGTTGATGTTATTGACAGAGTAAACTTCGAAGTTGATTACTTGGAAAGTAGGCAAAATATATCACACTCTGTATATATGAGTGGTCATTTTTGAGTCCAGAGCAGAATTGCCACCAACCAACTTTAGCCTGACGTACCAACAAATTCCCATGGGTGTAGACTTTTGTACTTTATCAGTGCAGTTGAAGTATAAAAAGTAGAACAATGAACAAACAAAAAAGTTACTCAATAAACCTTTTCTACTCAGGAGCTCTCTGGGTAGTCAATAAACCATTGTATTTCAATAACATTATTGTAATGCATCCTTTGTTTGTTTCTACGTACAATTTGATGACTGGGGAATTATAGTAAATTATGATGTATTGTTTTATATTGGCATTGCATTAAGAACAGATATGTATTATTTATTAATGTTCATTTCTATGATATAATTGCTGTCAAAAGCCATAGAATATTACTTCCACTTCATTGCACTTTTATGTGATATTAAACTGTGATGTCCTTATAGTTTGATGTCTATAAAACAATTGCAACATGTCATCAGCTGAAAGCAAAGTTTTAAAATATATTAAATTGATATACAGGTTGGGGCAATGAAAATTGAACTCTTGCAAATATTCCACTTAAAGGAGTGTATATGATTAAATGTCATGAAAATTAACAAATATAAAGTTTGGTGGATTTTGAGTCGAATAATGCATGTTTTTTTTGCTTGACACAAACACTTATTGAAATTGTAAAGAATATGCGAGTGTCTATCATTTTAGGTAAAATTTATCGATAACCTATTTATTCATCTTTTAATCAGATCTCTATTTTATCAATTTTGGGACTTCATGTTTTTGGAATATTAACCTGACATATATCAGGAATTATGGAAAAAAGCCTTAAGATCAGTATTTCTATACATAAAGGGGACTGGTTCAAGAATTTAATGAATTCCCTTGGCTATGGGCCTATATTGTTATGCTCAATCAATGAACAAAATAAAGAAATAAAAACAGAGCATATAGAATCTTTTAGATTTTCTTGATTAAATTTTTTGATAAATTGATATATTCTACAATTATATCAATCATACGATTTGTTCCGCCTTTGTAAACATGGTCTGAGATCAGTCTCATTTGGTTGATGAATAGAAATGCTAGTTTTGTCCTTCAATGGCAACAGAACAAGACATTTGTCATATGCTTAGGTATTGATAAATCACAACACAATAGCAACAAGATATTGGATATTTCTTGAGATATCATAATGGTGCCACTTAACTCATAAGATTATTAAACTCTTTAGACTATTGTTATATTTTAACTTTGAGTGTTACATTATACCTAAATAGGGAAAACATTGTCATCAGCTTGGCAGGGTGGGAAGTGATGATGATGGTGTCTCACTTTTTGTCTTGAAATTTTCAGGGATATTATTTTTTTATAATAGTTGATTGAATTTTTGGTATGCTGGGTATATATACGCAATAGAAGGTAATCATTTGTGATTTTTAGATACAATATTGTTCACTGCAGTCAGTAGGCTTTTAATAGACAGTAATGTTAACAACCATGTTAGTATTTTCAGCAGCAAATATTAAGTCCTTTTTAGGAAACTGTTTTAACACCTAAATAATAACAGAAATTACAAAAATTGTATATTTATGCATTGAAATTGGTTAAAAGGAAGTCCCAACTTCACAATTTCAGTAACCAACTAAGCAAAACTGAAAGGTTTCATTTTAACATCATTCTCTTTCCAAGTGTCGGCTTTTGCATTACAGCTGATAGATAGGCTATTAGAGAAGGTTTTGTTTAATTCTGACCCAGGGGAACTTTGTTAAAAGAAAAGTTAATTACGGAGGCATCAACTGGCCATCAAGGAATAGTACTGGGACATTGAATTACTGATATAGTCCTCAAATTACTCAGAGCAATGTTGACTGTGTTTTTAAAAACCTATACAGTTTTCCCAATCATATGTCAAAGCTGATTATATTTTAAATTCTCATGTTCAGCCAAACTTTTTTGATATTGTTCAGCGTCTGGCGGTCTGCGTTTAGAGTTTGGCATCTGTAACAAATGGTGTCCGTAACAAATGAGAAGTGGTGACATTTTGCCTGTGAACTTAATCCCTTAAAATAATATTGAACATTTTTTCTAGTGAACACCTGTCTCTAGTGGAGACCCTTCTATATACTCTACTGACTTCCACAGAGTAGCAAATCCTAACGGACAAATTTCCATTAATCTGTGTATGTCTGATATTATATTTTCCATTTACTCTAACCTTGATTTACAGATAATAAGACAGACATATAACTAAATATAGCCATATTTTGAAAGGATTTGAGAATTTTTGCTTATTCCCATACTTGGCAGCTATTTTTAATTTTCTGAGGCACAATGAATCAGAAAAATGATACAATATTTGCAATCTACTCTAAATTGCCTTTCATTTGAGTATAATAAAGCTATACTTCAGAAAGATCTCAAAATTAACCCAAATTTCTGTTTTCCCAACCCCCCATACACGGCCCCTGGGGGTCAGGGTGAAAAACACAGAATATATGTGAAATAGATAGATGTTGTGAATAGACTACCAAAATTTGAAACAAAAATATTTATAACTTTGGTTTAAAATGAAAAACATAAGATTCTCGCGAAAAATTCCCCCAATTTGTAAAGCGGCAGCCATCTTGAAAAAATTATTTTTCGCGTAAAACTATTTACCAATTTACATCTTTCCACCAAATATGAAGAAAATCTGTCCACTGGTATTTAGAGTGATATTTGGATGGACTGATGGACTGACGGCGGACTGACTGATGGATGGAGGGATTCACCATATCTATACCGAACTTTGTTCGTTGGGATAATTACCCTTGTATTGAATTTTCTTGGTAAAAATGTTCAACATACACATGTTTCACTGTACATACAGATGTGCATCGATGTATTGACCTCACCCCTAGTTCATGAGATATGGTTCTTTTTGCCATCCATCCTTCACTGTGGTCCTTTGTATATTGGAAAGGAAGTTTTGCTAATATGTCAGGTATACTTTTTATACAAGCTGCGGGATTTTAGGAAACATTTGATACTCCATTACGCACTAAGCACATAGAGCGCTTTCATCTTCAAAGCGATCTCGTAAATGTTCATCATTGATTTTCCAGGCTTTTATTGTTAACAATGTAAGAGGAGTATTTCACCTCAGAACTATAGCTCACTATATCATATATAATGACCAATTCATTAAGCGTTCCTTCCAATACATTACAAAATTCTCTATGATTTAATAATTTATTTGATTATTGTTACTTTATACTGTAGTTTTATTGTTACTTGTAAATACAAAATTTTTGTGGATTGAAGTCGTTCATTTATTGTACTGTAATTTAATAATTTTGAATTGTGAAGCCCTCCTTTTGTGGCATTTACAGATTATAAAAATATTCGTAAAAATAACAAGAACATTGTTTGAACATTTGATAAAGCTATCCTAAATTGAAGACTAGCCTCGGCTTGAAAGTCTGACATTTGTGGTCAACGGAACCTTTTCTTCTATCTAGTGAAGTCTCATTTGAGATAAAATATTTCGTCTAAGTATGTGTGCATCCACTCAACCTAATCAACCGTTCATCTGTTCTTTCATTTACTAAGTAATGACCAGCTGGAAATGCTGATTGAATTGTGTCATTAGAACATTTAAATAACCTTTCTCCTGTCTTAATCCATTAGTTGTAAGAGTTTTTGAAAACACTTATGATTATCATTCATTGTGCTACAGCTGTAAATGGCTGGATATACCTTTCAAATAAATCATGCCAGTGCCACCTTTTGGATATCAAAGAAGTTAGGTTATATTGACTGGTTGATGATGTCATTGGTTGTAGGTAGCAATATGTCCAAGCAAAAATGAGATTGACATATTTCTAATGTTGAAAAACTGCTACCTATGACAAAATCAACCTAGCCAATATATAATAGCTTCTCTGGTGTTCCAAAAGATGGCAGGATTTATTGGAAAGGTCTATTATGACTCTTCATTTTAATAAACACTTTGCTGACATCTATATGTCTGCAGGGACTTATATTTTCCATGAGCATACTTATTGCTTGCATTGAACATCTACTATCACATGGTGCTACCATCTATTGATGGAGAGATTTTCGTAGTAGAGGTACTTTGGTTGTATTCAAAATGTTTAGATTAGCAATATCTGTCCAAGAAGGAATTTCCAAAATGGCCACCAAATTCAAAATGGTAGCCATTTTCACACACACATGTTTTACTGTAGTTTATTATGGATTTGTTTCCGGTACTCTTTGTGTTGAAGCTTTTGATTTCTAAAAAACATTGTAAGAAGCTTACGACTATTTTGAATGTATAACTAGATTATGATTCTATTTTACAACTTATTATTGCATTCGTGGATTGCAGTGTTGTGTTGAAATATACTAGAACCAGTCTATCTTTGGTTTTGTCATGCATTGTCATAGGCCTACAGTGATTCAGTAATAAGGAAAACCTCTCAAAGAAAAAAATAAACACAAAGACACATACATATTGAGATGTCATGTATTTTATTATGATAAATTCACTTATATTATAAATAAAGCAGTGGTACAATACATACTGGTATAAAAATCAAATTTCATATACCACAATTTTGAAAAAAAACATGTAAAAGAGGTCTCAACAATAATTCTTTGCAATACATGTATTGACAGTTCTTAAGTCCAACACAATCAATTATGAATGGAATCTTGGATACCTCATGAACTGAACTATGCGTTGTTATTTCAAGATGTTAAAAATGGCTGAATTCTACATTTTTACAATAATACTTCAATAATACTGTTCATTGTATTCAGTGGTTTGTGCGCTTAATCAGTGTTTTACTTGAACAAATGTATTTTGGCAAACAATTGTATGAATAGTGGATCAGGTAACATTCATTTATCACAAGTTGTCAAGTCTCATTTACTTTGACATTTCACCCAGAAAAGTTAAGCTGGGCCTTGTGTCAACATTTTTTGATTTGTGCATTAATTTACTAGTCAGGGGGTCATTATCAGAACCTTTCATTAGTCAATTGTTTCTTTCTATGACATCAGTGTTGCCATAGTTACAATTGATCTAGGAATCATGGATTTATTAAAGCTTCTGGTATTGACCTCTAGTCTTCTCTGCCTGCTTGAGAATCTAATTATTGAATATTTTAAAGAGAAATTTCTATGAATGTCTATAAAAAATATATCATGAAACTATTTTTTCAAATACGATATACATGTACTGTACTTGCATTTGATAACCTCATCATCATATCATTTGACTAGAAAAATCAGGCGGAGAAAATTCAACTAAAAAACACATTATTGACACATTATTGGAGATGATTCTTTGAAATATAGGTCGTTTCAAAATGAAATCCATTTGTCCATTAAACACTTCATTATGTCTCGATCATACACCTTCTCGTTGGAGTGTCTATTGTTCCATGACTGCTTGCGACAAGTGAGGGTTAAATGAGTTTAGTTCACTAATGCAGTCGTATAGTTACACTAATCTTGCATTTTGAAGGCCACCCTCGTAGGCATCAGCATAAATTCCACTATCCATAAAAGATTTTTATTTTAGTGTACAGCTCCAATTGATAGGATTGTATTTCAATTGTTCGTTATCATATTTCTTTTCCAGATCAGTTGTTTCACGATTGAACCTCCACTTTTCCTCCATCAACTGGAAAGTATGAATAAAGAATGTTCAAAATATATCATAAATCAGAAAATATAAGAACGATAGACTTTGTGACAGACTGTATACTGAAACAAGGGATATGCTTTTGATTGTTTACTCAAGTGTTCAAAGAAGTTACTCACCAATTTGTTATCATCTCTAAACTTTTTCAAATAGTCGAACTTTTTGTAAAAATTATCTGCATCTTCTTTTAGACATTTGTTATCATATTCCACCGCACCTTCACTTTCGGACACCTTATTTTTCAAAAAATCTTTTACACGATTTTGTCGGTCTGTCATCTGCTGTTTAAGTACTAGTCTTGTATTTTTTCTGAAAATATAAACAATTTAAATTATTTAAAAATTTTCAAGTTTTTTTAAAACATAAAAAAAACATAAAAGGAAATTAATTAATTTCCATTGTTATTCTTCCAACTAATAATTTCTAATAACTTCTATCATAATAGATTCAATTTAATTTAATTTCTTATATTTACATTTCATTTTATTCCCCATTATGTATGACTAGTTGTAACATTGTTCATACGAAATTCAATTTAATTTGATCAATTCTTTTTCTATTTAATTTTAAGTATACACATATTTTCCTAAAGGATAAGATTTCAGTAGCACCTGAATCTAGACCAATATTTGGTGGCTAGTAACAAGCTTAACTGGTACAGAAAAAGGTGATCTCAAAATTAAATACTTAAGAAAATTCTGTTTGGAATACGATTTTCATAGATTTGTAGACAAACATTCTTAAGAGTTGAATTAACAGAGAAGGAAAGGGAATGGAATCCAATGTTGCTAGACTTGTCTTAGAAACAAATTCCCAAAACAATACAAGTACTCGTATACATGTATGAATTAAAATACAGTTAAACCTGTAAAGTGGAACACCTCTGTAAGTAGAACACCACCATAAGTGGAACACTTTTCCCTTAACCTATTTATTGACTGTAAAATGAACATTTATGAGTGGAACAACCCCATAAGTGGAACACCTCTTAAGTGGAACACTATTTTGAGGTTGTACATGTGTTCCACTTACAGAGGTTTTACTGCATACAATTTTTCTTACACAATATTATAACAAATAATTCCTGAATGTTGTATTCAGCTTTTGAGTTAGTATTTCCAGTAACTGAATTTCCATTAGTTAGAATTCTAATAAAACATATCACAATGGTAAATCGTCAAGTTACACAGTAAAAAATCAATTAAAAGGAAAATAGGAATAGAATGTCAATATGTGCTCATAGATCAGATTGCTTTTTCAACAAAAATGGCATTAGCGCACAAGATCCTTTCTTCTTTATTATTGGAAATCATTTAACGACTACTCTTGAAACTGAATTAGTGATCTATATGAATTGTATACATGGTTGCTTAAGGCTCTTTTCAAAGTTAAAGTAACACTTGAGAGGATTTCCACATTCAATATTTAAATACATAAAAGTAAATAATTCTAAATATAGAATGTCAGATTGTACTTTAAGCACATTCATAGCTTGACTTTCATTCAAAATACTTGTGAAAAAAGACCTGACCCCGATTACCCAGTTGTGAAAAACATACTTATTGTGAATTAAGAAGTATAATTTGATAGCTGAGAAAAGAAATCCCACATTTGTATATGGACTAGGATTACAGACTCATGTGTAAATAGTGGGACCTGTCTGAATGATATTTGTGTTTAAGATAAGATTTAGCAGCATAATATTAAACTGTCATCCATTCTCCATTTAGTAGCCTGCCAAAGAATCAATAATTTTGGTTTTCCTAGCGACAAAAATATTCAGACCCCTTCCCGTGTTAGTTAAATCCTATTATTCACTAAAGTTGCATTATCTCTTAAACAAGCTTTATTATTCTTCCCTAAGATAACCAAATACAATTCAAGATAAAAAGTGACAAGGGACAATAGAAGTACCAGCTTAGAATCACGATGAACTAATAACGAGATATACTTATCTTAAACCATTTGATTAGAACTGATTTAATAAATGGCAATACACACCACTGGTGATGGACTAGAAATTGTCTGGTTTGTTCGAAATGATTTAATAAAACATCTGTGATATTGCTCCTGCCTGATATTCAATCGGTTAAAGTGCTATTTATCTTTTATGCTTTACAGATTGTAAATTAAAAATTCATAACAATGATACATAACAGTGGCATACACAGGTAGGAAAAAAGCGATGAAGCGAACAATTTTTCCAAACTCGTTAAAAAGCGATGAGGAAAACAACTCGTCTGTCTGATCCTGGCTAAGCTTCTTTAATGTGACTCAAAAAGGGAAAATAATCTCATGAGAAACATTTGCATCATTCAAGGTTCCAAAATCAATAAAAGTTAACAATTAATTTACAACTTCATCGAAAGGGGAATATTTTTCAAAGGATCGATGTCTCATCTTGGGCTAGTGCATAAGTGTTTCACTGTAGATTATTTGAGAAAGTCACATTTAAAACTCCGAGAGATTCAGTATTTCTCATTTTCTCATTACCAGAGTATGATAAAGGAATCAATAGTTGTAGAATTTTCTGTGATTGTTAATAAAACATAATGGGATTCTATCAGGCCTGTATTCTACTCTACTTATACATAATAGTTGGCATATTGGTACATCACATCCACTTGTATTAATTACATCAGTTATTCAATAGAAATTATGTAAATATTGTGTGATTCTGGGCTACTGGTATTGACTTATGAGACAAGAAGTAATGCAACCATGGAAATACTGTAACTTCAATAAAAAATCCCATTTAATTTGTTACGCTTATAATTTCCCATTTCATTCCATTTGTTAGAACTTTTACTGGCTTTTATAGCAAATAATAAAACAAGTTTAATGGTAAGTAAAATCCTTTCACAACAAAGGAACAATCCATGAAATATACATAAAACTTAAAAAATATCATCAGTTTTATCCGAAGCCAGCCTGATTATAAAAAAAACAACAGGTATTGATGTCCCAACATTGCAACTGTAATTAATTCCCAACAGTGTCATAATCCATAGCTGTAAATGTAAACTGCTATTGTTAACACATAGCAATCTATGGTATAATAGGATATGATATTGATCTAAACTCAGGGGATTATGGTGAAAATGAACATTCATTCAGTTCAATGATTCAATGCTGCAATTGATTTTTATGGGAAACTTTAATGCTTCCAGTTATTATAGACAGTGTGACTGTAATTACTTTTTTGGAAGAAAAGTTAGCAACAATATGTTACTTTGTTCATTTAACTGCTTGGCTTATAAGGTCCAGTAAAGCCTTGAAGCTGAACTATGGAGTACTTACCTGTAAACTAGAAATCAAAGAAAATAATTTTAAAAACCTGCGTACCTGTAATCTTCCTTTTCTGAAGGTGACCCATAGAATGCTTTCTGGTACATACTATGGTATCTAAAATATTCCAGTTGCTGCATAAGACTCGTCCTTTGATGGTTATGCCAATGTCCATCCCCCGTTTCCAAACTCTTAGTCCATTTTTTTGGTGGTACAGGTTTACAGGGGTTAACTTTTTTAGGAATGTTTGAGAATTCTGCAGACTGTGTGAGTCTCGGAGGATATACTCCATATAGTTCTGATGGGGGTTCAGTGAATGTTGTCATTCTCTCATAAGTTGATTTTGGAGATTGATGACTAATGAATGTTTTTTCACGACGACGTGGTTTTAATGAGTTTGACTCTTTAATGTCTGGTGCTGTCATGAACGTCGTCATCATCTTGTATGTGGTTAAATGTGGGGCAACATCGGGCACAGTTATAGGTGTCGCCCTAGGGGCATTTATTCTGGGTAATGTTGTCATGGTTACCTGCTATTCTGAAAATATCAGAAATCAGAAAAAAATTAAAACCAATTTTAATTTTTCAAAATACATTTCATTGTTCAAATCATTTTGAGATAATAACTTAGGAATAATTCACCTTCGAAAACTTCATTCTCTATGATACACAGTACACATAGTTGTAATAATTAGTACTAGGTAATCTGAAAACAAGTACATGTTTCCGTTGGTCTAGTGATATTTGATCGAACAAATACATTTCTATTGACTGTATTCTATAAATGACCAAATTGAATAAAAGTCTGATACTTCAAATAATACAGTGAACTAAAGCCAATAAAGAACGGAAGCTGACATTTTTGTTCAAATATTCAAAGTTCTCAAGTTTAGAACATGAGAATAACAGCATAAAAGTACTAAATAACCCAAACATGTACTTTGAAAACAGTGTATAAAACATACTAAATAGGCCTCCATGGAAAAAGAAATACATTCTGTTTTTTAACAATATTTCTACTCACATGTTACAGTAACCATGAGTGTGGTAGTCAACAATGTTTGAGTAAATTTTGTTAAATCACTTAACTCATCTTGAAGTAACAAAATACTTGTAAATGAATGATAAAGAAATAATGTGATAAGACTTCTCCTTACTTATAGCAATGCCTGTTAAAATATCAACTTACCATTTGATAATTAAAATAAAATATTCCTTTTTATACATCTATATTCAAGTATGGTTTTGTATGTAGTTTGTTCTCTATGAATCTACCATATGTTTATACAGAGGTCATGTGACCAAACGTTCCTATAGCTACCCTGCCTCTTTCTGAAATACCAATGAATAAAAGAGCTTTCACTATTCACACAGGGTTCTCACAATACATTAAACTTTATACACAGCTATAATACAATTGAATAAAATACAACTGAATGTAAATGCAAGTGAATGTACAAGATCAAGCGATTGAACCTGTTTATAAAAATAAATGTGATTTCCAAATCATTAATCACAATAACAATTTTAGTTTGTTATATGGGCTGCAGACCCGAAAGAAATTTTTATTTTCAAATACATTAAATCAAACCCTGCATGGAGTAAATTTGCAGTCTACTATGTAAATTTTAGAAATAAGATTATCGAAAAATATCAATAGAATATTTTGGCTCGGTACATGACATAATCGGGGATAATCTTGTCGTTACCCACTGTAACAGGTTTAGATGTTTGCTAACAACTAAATCACAAGAGAATAATTTGAGGTTACAAGCATTTGATTTGATACTTACAATTGCTGTATTTCAATTAAATAATATAAAGGTCTCAAATTAGGGGATGGCCATTCTATTCAACAGTCATGTTTGATATGATCTGGCTGTAATTTTCAATTGATGAAAGTAATAAGGCAATGAAATTTGAGAAAGTATTATATCCAAGCATGGGCTTTCTGACTAAAACTCTGTCTAATGCAGTAATGGATGTTAAAACTACAAAAGTGACCACTTACACTTTAATATATCTTTAAAGAAAGGTTCACATAAGTTATCGCAAACAATTTCAGACAGTTATATCTTGGATTAAGACTATTTTCTGACCATGAAGACAGGTATATCTTTTAGATCCATTCACTATCTCAAAGAAAATTATATACAATAATAGTAAAGTCAAACGGACTTGAAAATATTTAACTAGCAATCAACCCATCAACACATTTTTCAAAGATGTTGCATTACTAAGCATTACTATTCTTTATTTTGATGTATCCAACAGTTCTTGAAAAAAACTGAATTGCTCTTAGATTAGTGTTCCCCATGTTATTTCCCCATTGAAAAATCTCATGCTATCAATGGTTTCAGTCCATTTTGGTTATCCAAATTCAGTATCTTTAAAGTCCCTAGAGCAATCACTTTTCCTTTTCGAAAATAGAACATATCTAAAAACACATTCTAATTATGCATTCAACAATATATTAAAAGGTTACATTTTTGGTGAAAATTAGGTCAGCATTTTTGAAAAAGTATGTTGATTGGTCCATTGCCCCTTAATTAATATCACTTAGGTCTGATTAACTAAATCATCATTATTTCCACTTTTCTTGAAGATGACAGATGGGTATAAAAGAAACACCCATGTTCATGATCAGAAAATATTCAATATTAAAGTTCGAATTGTCTGAAATTGTTTGCGATAACCTACATGCTCCTTTGTGACTTCTTTCCCAATCTTGAAAATGAAAAAATAACATTTTATATTTTATTTTTCAAACAAATAATTATCTAAAGAGAAATAAAATGAAAGTTTGAATATTACAATCTTGAACAAGGCATTAACATGCAAAATGTCACCACCTTCCATTTGTTACAGACACCAAGCCCCTAACTGCAAAGAAGTTGGAGACCATAATAATATGTCACCACTTGTGAAAGTGACATAATAAATATTGTCTATATTTGTAGTGTTCTCAGATCCAAAGCAACAGTAATGTACTTATGGCATACACTTCTTGTTAAGTGAATCATCAGTAAAATACAATAATGAAAGGTTGATCCTATTAATGGCACATTTAAAAAGTCTCCCTCCTCTCTCTCAATACTGGATGAGCAGTACTGCATGTATTTATGTTAAGAACATAGCATCTCCTTGGGTTTTCAGAGTTTCAGTTGTTATAATTAAAATGTTTAGCTCATTGAGGTCGAACTATAGAAATGGTAATAGTCTATATATGCATATGTGATATTATGAAATAAAGGATTTTTTACTATATAACTGAAATCTCATGAACTCTTGTTTTCATGACATTAAGAGATTTTCATATTAAATCTCCATTGAAAACTTTTACTTCTTTTAAATAACATATTTGCAAGTTTTTACCATTGAAGCCTATGGCAGTCTGGCCCAACTGAAACATATAAAAACAAATGCTGTCATCCATTTATTCAGCTTTTTTCAGCTATATATTAACTTCCTTATTAGCCATTTAACTAGAATACAGTGTCTGCTAAACATTGTATATTGTCAACTGAATACAAATACAGCTTTCATCTTGAAAATAAATATTTATTGCAATTAAATTATTTTATACAAAATCTACAAAACATCAAGTTCAACAATTCAGGATAATTCATAGATATCTATACACTGTCATGTACATGTATAATGCTGGGCGATTACATACTGGATAATTAGCAGATTTGGTAGAAGACATCGGCAATGTGAGTTTCCACACAAGTCAATTCTTTGGTTTTAATGAGTTAAGTGCATCTCACCAATCAATTTATCTGACACAAAACACTGTTATTATGGTAACAGGCCACAAAAAGTTACTTCACTAATGCGTTACCTTTTAAAGAAAGGTGTTTTAAAACATGAAACAAACTATGACACTTGATTGAAATTGTCTTCTTTTAGCTACTTGCCTTTTGTGGTACTATGACATCAACATTTCTGAAGGATATTGTACTTGAAATATTTCATTCTCAGATGGCTGTTAATCTGTGATGCTGTTTGTGTGGAAGAATCATTCACTTTTAGATATATATCTTTCTACCATTGATCCAGCATTGGAAGATGAATGTTTGTATTATCAGACCAGAATAATTCGTCAGATCAGATGTAAGGCTGTAAGTCGATGGTTCTAGATTGAATGATGGCATCTAGGAGAGGTATAGAGTGAGCCCATAAGACCTTGAAGAACCATAATCTACGCTATCTCCCATGTTTTATAAATTATATATAAATGTCTCAACATATAATTTTATCATACCAAACATGTATATAATACAAGAACTAACACACACCAGCCTTTTTATCAAAGAACCCAAATATTTTTATATTCAGGTTATTTTTATATAAAGGTTTGGTTCTCCAAGATCTAATGGCTAACCCCTTTATAGGTAGTTTGCCAAGATGCTCTAAACTGCAAGTGGACACTAGGCAGCAACTACCAGTTTCTTGCCAATGGATGCTCAGCAGCCCAACCATTGTTCTTAGCTATAGTCTTTGCTATCCTTGTCTTGTACTCATCTTGATTATGAGATATAGCTGCAAATAAATGTGAACTCATGTGATATAGCTACAAGAAAAGGTAAACTCATGAACTTGATTGTGTGATATAGCTGCAAGGTAAACTCATGAACTTGATTATGTGATATAGCTACAACTAAAGGTAAACTCATGAACTTGATTGTGTGATATAGCTACAACTAAAGGTAAACTCATGAACTTGATTGTGTGATATAGCTGCAAGGTAAACTCATGAACTTGATTATGTGATATAGCTACAACTAGAGGTAAACTCATGAACTTGATTGTGTTATATGGCTGCAGACTATTTCTACAGAGGCGCTAGTAATATAAATTACACAACGTTAACTGCGTAATATTAGAGAAACTAATGTGATGACTGTTTTAGAAACATTAATATTTCTATGTTTTTGCTACAAGTACAAGTTTTACTTACTAAGATTCAGTTGAATGTCTTTGATTGTCTGGTTTATTCTACGGTTTGCTTCCCATGTGAATGTTTGTGTCATCAGCACCTGCATTTATAAAGAATATACAAATAACTTCATTTCAAAGGGAAACATAGTGAAATCTCAGCCCAAGGGATGAAGGGCAAAGAATTCATATGTTGCCCGCTGAAATGAGGTTATTAGTATTATCACCATCTATTGAAATCTAAGTACAAACTCATTATTCACTCTAGACCAGGGCGGATAATGACCACTATGGCCCGGTTCTATGACTTCATCTATTGCTCGAGTCAATATAGCAAAATATAAACCTTTTAAACTAGTACTAATGCCCTGAGAACAGGCCTTGCAAGGTGGTTATAATAGCTATTATCTGGTACAATCTATGTATTTCATTACACTATATTATCATTGAAATGACTAGATAACATCTATTTTTCAAGTGATTATGGTGATAATACCCCAGTAATATTATCTGGACATAGCAATTTGCATCAGTATTAAAACATGAAGATCACAATTCACTTGTGAATAAAATTGATGTTTCTTAAAATTGAAGGATATTTTTCATCATTTTGCCTGACATAAACAGTATATACAAGTACAGTAGTTATTACAAAAAAACTTAGTGACCATACTATTACAGGTGCATTTTCATGTATGAGTAAACCATACCTCATGATCACAGTTCCGTAGTCCTATAGATTTAGACCTTGAGGCTCTGGATATAACTGCAGTACATGCATACAAATCTATTGCAATGTCTGCCAATCTTTTCAGGATTAACTGCTGGTCAATAATATCCTGAAATATCAATTAAAATTTTTGTCAGATGTGCTCATAAAATGTATACTAAAGAAGGTGACAGTATTTAACTATTTGCACCATTCAAGGTGACAGTATTCAAGTATTTGTAGTATTCAAGGTGACAGTATTTGAGTATTTACAGTATTCAAGGTGACAGTATTTAAGTATTTGCAGCATTCAAGGTGACAGTATTTAAGGATTCGCAGTATTCAATGTGACAGTATTTTCAGCATTCAAGGTGACAGTATTTAAGAATTTGCATTATTCAAGGTGACGGTATTTAAGTATTTGCAGAATTCAAGGTGACAGTATTTAAGTATCACAGTATTCAAGGTGACAGTATTTGAGTATTTACAGTATTCAATGTGACAATATTTAAGTATTTGTAGTATTCAAGGTGACAGTATTTAAGTATTTGTAGTATTCAATGTGTCAATATCTAAGTATTTGTAGTATTCAAGGTGTCAATATCTAAGTATTTGCAGTATTCAAGGTGACAATATTTAAGTTTCTGCAGTATTCAAGGTGACAGTTTTAAAGTATTTGCAGTATTCAAGGTGACAATATTTAAGTTTCTGGCTGTATTCAAGGTGACAATATTTAAGAATTTGCAGTATTCAAGGTGACAGTATATAGATATTTGCAGAATTCAAGCACTAACCTTTCCATGTCTCTGTAAGCAATCTTCAATGACCCTCTGGAACAGGAGAACATTTCTCTCTAGATCTTCAACAGGATCCTTGAACACAAAATAAACATTTCTCTAAATCATGGTTCTCTACAGAGTATTAATATAAGGGAGCTTTCATTAGTCATGGACATATTAAAATCAGCTGTTTTTTTGTAATAAGCGCATATATTAGATATTGGAAGATAAACAAATTCACAACATACCAAAATATGGTAAAATATGGTCATAGCTGTGTTACAATTTTTCTAAATTATGATGCATTTATACATACAGCTAAAACTGGGTGGACACATTCCTTTAGTTCCATTGTAAGTCTTGGAGATTTACCCATCCTGGAGATACCCTTTGACATAAGGAAGCCTAAATTATTCAATGGATCACGCATCTTCCTGAAAACCACAACGAACAGATTTTATATTCAACCAGGACGTTGATTATGGGTGGCACCAGAGCAATAAAAGTTCCTTTCCTGTCAACCCAAAATAGTTGACCACCATTTGAAAATTGTTACTCAGCATATAACTCAAAGTAGTCAAATCAACAATTGCTTGATTCACGTGTTGAATATACATGTACATGAAACTTAAAATTTTATCATCAATGTCTTTAGCTGGTCAAAATCATCTAAACAGATTTATTGAGAACATTTAAAATGAATCAACTTTCTTCTCAAATTGGCCATTTTAGATAATCTTTGCATAAATCCTAAATATGAAATAAAATGAAGTTACAATATTACTAACCTGACTGCGTCAGTCAGTTCTTTACCAGCTGTCTGAACACCATTCAGTGCAATAAACAGTCTCAGGATCTCATTTGTGCCCTAGAAATACAATACAGAACTTAGAGAAAATTTACGCTATATACATAAAGTCTTATGAACATGAAATAACAATTACATCTAGAAAATGGCAACTTCAAACATATGCAAATCCCAACAAAAAACTAGAAATATGAAGAAACAGATATAGTTTCTGATCTGAACGTGAACAAAATCTCAAAATACGATTTTTTGAGTACAACTATTCATCATAATATACTTCTTCCCACCAAATATGAAGAAAATCCATCCAATAGTATTTCATTTATTTTCTAGACAGACATTTGAATGGAGGGACAGATGGATGGACAGAGGCACTGACTGATGGACAGACAGACGAATGGAGGGCTTCACGATATCCCCAAATAAAAAGACAACTACATTTGTCTGCCTCATTATAGCCTATGGGAGACCCATACATTCCTCATTATCTCCCACTTACTATATCAGTTTATCAAACATAACCTAAGGAACAATGCATGAGCATGATATCAGTAACACTTTGTGTTGAAAAGGAGATGTTCATTTTTCTCGTCGACTAGACCGTATCTTCAAGGAAGGCCAGTATTGGAAATGAGATTTGTGCACTTCACAGTCCATGTACTTGTAAATGTAAATGTAGATGTAAATCAAAGTTACAATGATCACACTGATCATGCCGTTAACTGTTAAGGCCTGTATGATGGGGCAGTTACACTGTATTTCAGTGTTGGTCCTGCCTCCAAAATATTTCAATTACCTCAAATATGAGTAGGATCCTTGCATCTCTCAGGTATCTCTCATAGGGATAGTCTTTCATATAGCTCATGCCCCCAAACATCTGCATTGCTTCATTAATACTGTACCAGCAACCTTCTGAGGCAAATACCTACAATTAACAATTAATAAGACTTCATATAGCTCATGCCCCCAAAACATATACATTGGATTCTTCCTATACTGTCCTTTACAATATAACAGATATGCACTGCAGTGTGAAGAAGCAAACCTAATTGTATTGTATTGTATTGTACTTTGTTTACCACCAATGAAGGTGAGGATATCCCATCATTAATGCATAAACATGGAAGGCAGACCCAGGAACCCCTCCTTGTCCTTGGAGAGGTACCGTGTTCTTTTATGTGCACTCATACATAGGCATACAACTACACACCACAGCCTTTTTACGAGTAGTGGACCACTCTGTCAAACACCCTGAAGTACTTTACGCAAACAAGCATATTAGTCTTGCATGAACTGGAGATCGAATCCGGGAACTATTGCGTAAGTAAGAGGTACATGTGCTACCACTGAGCTATGCAGGTGGGCGAATGACCTCTCTGACCAAACCAACATTGTGTACATGTATTGAGGCACTAAAAATATGGAATAATTACCTTCACCATTGCAGCTTCCACAGCAAGATCTGGGTTTTGATACTGATCCAACTGGCCAGCAGTCATGTATGCCATGCTCTCCATGACGTAGGTGGTCATAGCCACATTGGCCAATTTCTCCTGCAAACACAGTAAAACAAATATGTATCAAACAGCACCAAATAATCAAGTATGGATATGTTCTCCACTCTTAGGGTGCTGATAGACATATAAGTTAATTCTTCCTGCAAAATTAAACCATTTCTAATCAGCAGTTAAACTAAACTAAGAGTTGCCCAATTTAATCTACAAATGAAGCAATCAAGTATGGTCATGTCGGGAATACTAGTATACAACAATCTACAACTATTTCTATTTCAAGAGTTTGTAGGTTATTGTTTTTAATTTAATCTTCAACATCTATTGTAATAGTCTGTTGCTCTGTTTGGTAACACTTTTTAGTCTTGTCCCATTAATATTTATTTAGACACAATTGCCATTTTTTTCCTGCTAATGATCATAACAATCAGTGAATGACAAAACGCTTTTATAATGATTTTATCATTTATTTCTCAATGTTGTAGAGTTACATGATAAAATGAAAATGACTGCCATTAAGGCACTGGTTCAATGTAAGTGCATTTTCCATTCTTCCAATAGAACTCATAACTACTGAGAGTGTTGCCAGCTTTGTGTGCCATAAATGTTCCAGAACATTTGTAACTCCCACCAGTTGCACTGAAAAACAAGAACAAAGAAAATTATCAAAGCTAGACACAACTAAGACAGCACATAAATAAACCTAGGATTTTAACAAATTCAAATATTACATAACTTCCAATTCCCATGACTTCAAACATTTTTGACAACATTATAGCACTCATTTTCAGCCACAGATACTTGTAGCTTGGTACAATAATTTTAATATAAACACACTACCTAATAAAGCAATTAGAGCACTTCCACCTGAAGTACATGTTGTCTAACTGAAAGAAGAAGCCCTTATCTTCGCAAGTTCCACAATATTTTGTGTCAACCACGTTGTATAGCAGGGCCACCATAATGCAACCTGAAAAGAGAAGAAACCTATTAGTCATGTTATGCTAAAATCACTTTTGAAACTGATTTACAGAAGTGATTCCTGATAGGGTATTCACAGCTTGACTTGAATTGAGCTCTTTCATCAATGGAATGGATGCATCAAAAGGTTTAACATCTCACTAATATGTGTAAATATATAGACGATCGACAAGAAATATTATGATGCTTGTCTTGAAGACATGGCTTCCAGTTTAAAATCTTTACAATTGAGTCATTGAGACCATGGGGCCATCCATGGTACTATTGCAGTTACAATAAAAAAAACTCCAAACAATTATTTTAGTGAATGCAAAATGAGAGAAGCAAATTGTTAGCCCGAATTCCTCGTGATGATCCCATCTATATAAAACATTCTAGATCAAGACATTAGTCATTTTCATTTCATGTGTGACCCAATTATTAGGAACCTTCAACAATAAATGGGAATTAATCACAAGAAACTAATTTACTAACAATTTCCTGTTTTGAAAGACAACACAAAACAAATTATAATATTTACTTGTCAAAGCAATCTTCATCCTCAGAGCGGCTGCCTTGTGTGTCCTAGGGAAACGTTGAATCGTCAAATGAATAAAGTCCTCAGTCCGATTCCAATAACGCTCTATTGGATCTTGGCATTTTGTGATTGACAGTTGAACTGTTTGAATCCATGAAACAAGAGTTGTCACTTTTCATACTGCGGTTTGTTATTTGAAAATTACATGTATGTGATGGTACTTGATTTGAGATTCCAGTTTAAAATGATGTCGCAAAGTAAGATCACAAGGCTTAAGTGTGATTGGCTGAGATGAAACAAAACAACTTTGATATATGTGTGACTGGCCCACAAAAATAAAACCATTATACACATCCTTGTTCCATTTACATGTTCAATGTATGTAAGGCACAAGAGTAATAAAAAAAATTAAAAGTATTTTTATTATAATAGTATATTCAACAACGAGACAGTTAAAGTCTGGAATCATCATTATCATGAAAATAACTATCATTTTGTTTGTTTCAAAATTGAATACATTCAGCTAAATATATATGTCTGATTGTTTCGTGAAATAAAAACTGAACCATTAACTTCAGCAAATGGTAGTGTTTAATGTTAACTGATGTTACAATAGATATTAACATACTTCTTGCGAATGAGTGAACCAGGATGTTATGAGCATCAGACTAATTCTGACAAGCCTTATATGGATCTATCACATGATATTCAAAATGGTGGACAACAGTCAGTTGGATTCCTATATGGTCATGTAAGCCTTATATGGATCTAGCACATGGGTACCATGTGATCCAATACAAAGGCTGAACTTTGGGAGATCTCCCCCCTGGACAGACAGACACCGGCCAATTGAATTGAATATAAAATACACACAATACAAGTGAAATTAAAAAAGAGGCGGAGTTATATTAACTGAGAAGGTGGAGTTATATTGACTGAAAAGGCGGAGTTTTGTTGATGGCATTGAGGAAAGTAGAACTCCATGTATATGACAAGCTGGCATTAGTATACTGTATCAAGAAAGAGACTACAGCATAGGGACAAGATGGACAGTGTCATAGTGCTGTTAGGTACGTACCCAAGATGAAATGAGAAGAAATGATGTGTTTTGAAGAGTAGTTAAACTGATATAGGGTTTTCTGAAGAAAATATACAAGCATTATGTAATTAATAAAAATTCATCATCGTGAAACTTTCTTTGTTTATAGGAAGGTAAATAGGTCATTGCTTTATAGTTTTTAGTTCCTAAAACTTGTTGAGAAGATAATATATTTACAGTAAAACCTGTCTAATCCGAACACCCATGGGACCAGCTAAAAGTGTTCAAATTGGCAGGTGTTCAAATTTCGAGGATTTTGTTGGTCGGGGGGGGGGGGTATTTTCATTGTTCAGTGCACTATATTGAACACTTAATACTAAGTCAGAAAACATTACATGTTGTTGATGAGTTAATTCTACAATAGGCCTATAGCCTATATGCTATGTTTTATTTATATTTTGAACAATTTCATCATTTTAGTAAAAATAACTCTTAAATTTTGGCAAAAACTTTGTAATACACTGTTAAAGTATATGATAGTCTCGTACGAAATTTTATGCTTATCAAATGGCTTATCCCATATTATGGTTATATAGCACTGCTTTACTTTTGCTTGAAAAAGTCCTTCATTGTTGTTTGTTTCTTGGCACTTTTAGCATTAGCAATATTTGAGTAGATATCCTTTTCAAGTAAAAATAATTTTTCATGAGTGTTCATTCGAGATGATGTATAATCCTTCAAAATATCAAGGGCATTCAGGATGTCAGATGTATGCGAATATTACAAAGTTGGATTTTTTCTCCTTCTCGTGATATAATCGTGTCTGCAAATGGCGTCTGTGTTGTCTTTGTGATTATAAAACATTTACTGATTGAATCTTATCTATCATAACAGACCCATGGGATATAAAACAGTTAAGACCTGTTCATAATCCAAATCAAAAACATCCAGTTAATTTACAATAAGGATAAACCAATTATCTCCCAGACTCTCACCTTTCTCTTAATCCAAATCAAAAACATCCAGGTAATTTCCAATAATTATAAATCAATTATCTTCTTGATTCACACCTTTTTCTTAATCCAAAAATAAAACATTCAGTTCAGTTGATAAAAATGTTCAGATTAGACAGGTCACTTTTTCAAATCTGGTTGTTCACTGTTCAAATTAGGAGGTGTTCAGATTTCAAGGTTCTTTTAACATGGGAGTCAATGGGAGGAAAAAATGGGACTGAAAAAAAGTGTTCAAATTGGAAGGTGTTCGGATTAGCCAGGTGTTCAGATATACAGGTTTTACTGTAATTCATTTTGTTGCTAAGTTTTCATTGTACAGTATCAGTCAGTCAATTCCTGGGTTGTTTACTTTTGTTACACCTTGACTACTATAGAAGTGTTTTCTGAACTGAACATCATTCTTAATACTTAATCATATGAATATGGATACGTAAGCACAAGTGCAAAAATAGACCAGAAAGCATTATAAAACAGCAAGATAAACAAGGCCTTAAAATGCAAAATTTCACCACCTGCCATTTATTACAAATGCCAAACATCGAACATCAAGTGCAAAACACCAACCACCAAATACCAACCACAAAAAGTTAGAGACCATAACAATATGTCACCACTTTGGGTGGTGACATAAAATCATCAGAGCACAACCACTCAAACCCCTTAAACCCCAAAAACTATGACCTAACTCATATAGAAACAATCTCTTATAGGGATGGATGGGCTTGAAAATTGGATTTGGTTATGTGAGACTGGCATAGGTTATATGTAAAAATACTAAATATGAAATTAAGTAAACTTATTACAATCAACAAATCTAATTGATTTATTGTAGATGATTATGAATAAAGTCATTACTTTTTTTTAGCAACTGTGGCATTTGCAGTATGTTATGTTCAAGATGAAGTGATCTTAGAACCAGGTATATTTATAAATAAGAATTTAAATTTGAAGCAACTGAGTATATACAAGATATTAGTATGATGATTGTCAAGACTCAATAGAGGATTAAGATGCTGTAGAAATTAAGGTTATATCATTCGAATAAATATTAACAACTAAAACTAAATGTTGGTAGTTCATTTTTTCATATCAATCTAAAAATAATGAAATCGTTTAATGTGCAAATATCAAGGAAGAATTTTCCTAATACTTAAATTAAATGACCCATTGATTAGTAATTTCAGCTGACGAGTAAAAATTGAATGATTTCAGGTAAAAACTGAATGATTGCAGGTAAAAGCTGAATGATTTCAGGTTAAAACTGAATGATTTCAGGTAAAGCTAAAAAAAATTAAATAAATTCTGTAAAAATAAAATTTCTATGTACAGAGAAGTCTGTTGAAAAGAGAGAGCATGGCAAGTGGAATTACTGCAAATATGGAAACGATTGGACAGAAAATCCACGCTACCTTGATGGCAAAAAAGTGAGATGGAAGGTCTGGAGATGTCGCTATAGTGAAGGTTAGTACAAATTAACGTGTAAAGGTACACACAAGTATAAATTCAATACCTCGATTCTATGCTGTAAACATAATTATGATTATTTAAAGAAATTGTCATGTCACATAATTTTTTTAATTGCCAGGAGCTTTTATATTCATCATACTAGATTTATCTCTGGTGGACTGTTTTTGTAAATTCTAAAATATTTCAGTGTTCTGATCTAACTTCTGTCAAAACCCAAAAATTAAACTACTCAGCAATAGATTAATAAGATGTACTCTGACTTCTATCATCTATAATATATACGTTAATCAATATTCCTCTCTTACACATATGTAATGTTACGTAGCCTATATTATAAATATTATTAATAATATTTATGTGGTAGATCATATTAATAAAAGAAGAAGTAAGGCAGATGTGGGCAATAAAATATTACAAATTTTATTGAATTACGTATTGTTATATAATAGTTACAATAAAATAATTTTTTAATATTATTAATAATATATAATTCATTGTAGATAAAAGAACATGTGACAGATTCAGATGCAAACACAATGTATTGAGACAGTGGCAACACAATGAGTACAATGCATTGGGTCAATTTCTTCACACAAAACGTTACTTCAAATACACAAATGATTGCATAAAATATAATAATGTTCCATTTTGGTGCGGTGTATCAGATAAATGGGTCTCAGAAGGCTAAAATAACTGGATCAGCTTACATATTATTAAACAGTTAGATGCAGTTTACTGTATACACTCAAGGAAATAATAAAGTATTTGAACCCGAATATGACCATGTTTGTTGATTAGATACAGTGGGGTATATATATCTCAAGTTCTCAACCTATTCAAATTATTAAACCTGTGAAACCTGGAAATCCATAAAAGCATGGATGGCATTTTACTTGACATGTTGTGTACATGAACATATGTTCATACATGAACATATGAATGTATTCATATTTAATGGGTATTTACTTGGTACTTTTCATTAATTTTCCTAATGGGGGATGGGAGAGTGGGCGAGACATGGGATGTGGAAACAATGAAACAATAACCCCTCCCTCCCCCAATGGGCACTGATTCATTGGATAAATTGTCCAGTTATATGAAGAGTTCTGTCTGATAGTAAAATTAGACCTACCTGTATTAAGCCGAACTCTGATAGTTTCTTGCCAAACTGAGATCTAGTTGTTATATGTTCACTGACCCAACCTGTAGAATTTAACATTTATTTATAATATTGGAGTGATGGTTTTAATCATCTATTAATAAATTTTCCCACTTAGTATCCAATGGTCATAGTAATCAACATATCATACACATACTTTGAATTGATTGTTACATTCAAATATATCAATGACATGTTATAGACAACAAAACAGATGAACGTTTTCATTTGAATTTTTCAGTTTGAATTCCTGCTTCAGTGTGCGAATCTTTTATTTATCTATTTATTCATTTTTATTTTATTTATTTTGTGAAATGTGAGTTTGATAAAATCCAAAAATTCATCTATGAACACCTTTGTGATCAAAAGATGGCATTAGACTGTGCCTTTGTAAGCATATAATAATTACAATAAAACACAAATGTATTTGCATAATTAAGCATGCATTTACAAACATTTTAGATGAAGTTGCAGTGAAATGTATTTTAAAATTATGTACATACCTATCAGTTTCTTTAACATGCCTGCCCCAGCAGCCCCCATACTAAACCTACCACTGTTTAGTATGTTCATTGCAATCTTGAAACCATCCCCAGGTTGTCCTAATACATTCTCTACAGGGATAGGGGTGTTCTCAAAGTGAACCTCACATGCTGAAAATATAGCAATAAACAAGCATATAATATAAGTGTATCAGAATATTCCATTGATTTTAATAGTATTTTTGAAGGAAAGTTTCAGCCACTTTGTCGACTTAATTTTCATGAAATTTTGCAATTTTGAAAAGTTCCACAAGAGTATCATGGTACATTTTGTGCTAAAAGTGAGTGGCAGTTATAAATCTACATGACTTGTACATGTATCTTTTGTCAGTATAAGCCAGCACAATTTTTGAAGCATTAAGTTTCATTTCTAATTCAAAGTAGAATGCTTTTAAATGTGATGGATTAATAAATTGAAATTGGGGCTAATTTAAATGTAATATATTGATGCTTATGTTGAATATAATGCCTAATTTCGGGGTGTCAAATATATACAGGGTAACAATATACTCACTGTTTGATCCTCTGATACCAAGTTTATCTTCTGGTCTCCCATTTGTAATTCCACCAAATTTCCTTTCAACAATGAATGCTGTAACCTTATCTTTTGTTTCACCCTGTAAAAATAGATTCATGTAACTTATGTTATGAATTGCTTTATTTCAGTTTCTGGATACTGTAAATATATTAGCTTTGCTTGCATACCAATTTTGATTTTTACATGTCGATAATCAACAATGCTAAAATTACAATTTAGAAATCTTGAAGAAAATTTGAAATTCTGAACTTGTAAAAGTACCATGTATTTATGATGAATAATATAATATAAATAATACGTAAATATAAAGGTGGACATGCTTTGTGATACCTTTGTGCAAAGTATTATTGTCACTCCCATCTTTATTTTGCACAGATAACTTTTTAGACAAATGAAACGACCATATGTGTTATACGCACCATATCATTTGTCACTGGAGTTTTGGCAAAAACAGTGAATACATCTGCAATGCCCCCATTTGAAATCCATATTTTTCCACCATTTAAAAGATATGTTTTTCCATCCTCTGACAAAGTCGCTCTGGTTTGTATTGAAGCTGCATCACTCCCACTTAAACAGAAAGCACTTTAAAATCAAAAAGGTTTCCAATAAAAGAGGAGGCCTGTGTTCAGAGAATGAATAAAAGATAGATGGCGCCTGATTTTTATTCATTCAAACACAATCTCTTCTTTTTTGAAAATCATAGGTTTAAGGCTATTATAGAGATAGAAGTTACATCCAGAAATCCTTGTTTTCCCCAGTTAGAATGTGACCCCGCAGATATGTGAAATACTTGAGAGACTTAAGTTATGAAATAGAAAGATATTTAGCTTCCATTTAAGACCCTTTGTACAGGTAGAGACTAGTAAATACTCGTAAAAAGCAAATACCTTGATGGTTCTGTAAGGCAGAATGCTGCAATGTGTTCCCCTGAGGCCAACTTTGGTAAATATTTATCCTTTTGTGCATCTGTTCCAGCAATTAAGATACCCTGTAAAATATAATTATAATCACAAACCTTTTATTCGCAACGGAGCATATGGAAAATGATAAAAGTCAACCTCAAAGACAACGTGGACACATTAGGTAGTAGTAGTAGTAGTAGTATCTTTATTTATTTATGTCTCATACACTAAAAACAGATACTGTATACATAATATAACATTAAAACAAAACATAAAAATTAAACAGTGCCTGGCTGATGCCGACCTTTGAGAGACAGTGGAGTGTTACATTATGCTACGCTGTTTGGCTTGCATTTTTTTATAATTGTTTTACCAAGTGTTCGTTGAACAGTCTTTTCATTCATTATCAAACAGTATTTCACTAAACTTGTTTGCATATCAAAGTCAATTTAATGTAACATTTTGGAAAACAGACTAGATCGTTCATCTATATACAATTGGCACTCAAGGTTCACAGTCAAGTAAGATTGAAAAGCTGATTGCAACCATTTAACATTGGCAGTCAACTTCGAACTTCAAATCTTGGGATCAGACCCGGGGGGTTCACTCTAAATAATTTGGGTAGATATGTGTAGCAAGCACGGGCAATTTTGACTGAGGGCATAAACCATGGAACCTGGCCAATCTGAGAGGAAAAAACATGGAAATTTGTCGAAGAGAGAGCCCTTTTTAAGTCAAAAATCAGCTTTTCTACAAAAATGGTAATAAATCGGTAATTAGATAAATTGTTATGGTTTATTTAGAGATCTGTTCGTGGTTTATTTAATATGAGCAGATATTTTGTATCATGTACTTGTCCTTGTTATTACTACTGTGAAGGTCATAGATTTCATTTGTTATTTTAATGCATTTTGAAATTTTTAAAAGTTTAAATTAAAACAACAAGAAAACAAGTCACTAAATTCAATGAAAAATAATATTTATGAGCAGCCATAGCACAGGTCAAACAAACCTTTTAATGAAAACAATTTGATAAAAAAATGAAAGATATCAGAGGGGTTAATCTAATCTTTAATATTGTGCTTTTTGGGGATTGTATCATGTTAAGTTTAATTTGAACTGAAAACTAAATACTAGTGTCAGTTGGGAGTTTTTAAACAATCAACAAAGAGATGACGGAAAATTTAATAATTTCATTTTCGTTATCCTAAAATATCTTGAAAATATGAAAAATAGTAATTTTTATAAAAATCAGAATATAAGAATTGCAATACCTTAAATCCAATAGCCTGATGAGCTGCAAGGGTGACAGCTATAGCGCCATCGGTAGATATACATTCCGTAAGCCTGGCATACGCAGTAGCATTCAGCCCTAAACCACCTGTCAACATAGCAAGACATATTCAAAGCATTTCATCTGTACAGTCAAAACATGAGATTACAAGAATCAAACATACTAGTGACTTCAAATATTATTAATATCTTGAGAAACCTCATTTACCATAGTCTTCTGGTACTTGCATTCCAAAGAGACCAAAATCTTTCATTTGTTGGAAAGTTTCATCTGGTATTTTGGCATTCACATCAATAGCCTTAGAGTCCACTGAAAAACAAAATTTTATATAATATATGATCATTAAATAAAAGTAGTATAAGGATCTTTATATCTGAGTCAAACATAATTAATTTTATACATGAATGATTTTTCAGAAGGGATGAAACTTTTTTTTCTATGATTCTAATATGGTGTAACATAATGAAATGGATTGAACTACTAGTATGATATGTATTTTGATTTCATTGCTATGATACATCCAAAGACTCAAATGATATGTTACTCTGCTGCATTCTACTCAAGGATCCCTTAATTTACAATGGAAAGGTTATATAAAGTGCACAGTTGAGATCAAGAGAAGTACGTCTGAATTGATGTTTTAAAACCATTATTATATCCAGGACGAAAACATCCGTGTTAATACGAAATACATATTGAAAATAAAAACATATGAAAATATGTCAGCACTTCTAAAGGTGACCTAAAAAATGACATCCTCTTGAAAAAGTATAAAAAGAAGTAAACATTTCCCAGTATAAAGGTTTTTAAACAGCAGGCATCAGAGTGACAAGTGAACTGAACCGAATTTCAAAAACAAATCAGAATCATTTAAACCAGAACAGATAAAAGCAGAGGTAAGACATGTTAAATACAGTGTTTTGGTCTTACATGTTAAATACAGTGTTTTGGTCTTACATGTTAAATGCAGTGTTTTGGTCTTACATGTTAAATGCAGTGTTTTGGTCTTACATGTTATATGCACATATTTGGTCTTATTGAGTCAAAGGTGTATTTTATAGGCTTTATAAAATCAATGCATCACATTATGCCAATATGTAGTATGGGAAACAAGCATTTTTCACACTCTTTGTTGCTTTTCAGATCAAGATGAAGACTATACTTGCTGGATTGATCTTCGCAATCATCATTCTGAATGTTGGGACCACAACCATGGCACATTGTGATAGCTACGTCCATGGCTCAGTATGTCCGCTGGGGTTTATATTCAATGAACAATTGGGCTCCTGTTATAACTTTGTAATATCTGAGAAGACAACATGGTATAATGCTCTTACATTTTGTAATTCCATGGGTGCAAACCTTGCTGCGATAGAGTCTCAAGCGGAATATGATTTCTTAAGGAACGAGATTAAAGGGCGTGGAATAGTTGGCGATGGTGCAGAAACAGGAAATTCCTTCTTCATTGGAGGCAACTTTCTGAATGGAATGTGGCAATGGGCTGGAGGCCCATCTTGGAAAACAAAAGTAATGTTGTCTGCTCCTTGGGCAAGTTCCCAACCTAATGCCGTAAATGTAGACAAATGCACCGTACTTTGGGGTAGTGACCAAATTGCATAACTGGAAGTGCCCTCTTTTGTTGCACTACATATGTAAAATCAAATTACAATAATTGATTTTTTCCTATGGGATAAATATGATTCAAAACTAAACAAAATATTAAGATAGTAGACTGAGTGAGAAAAGAGTGGTTGGATATGACTAGATGAAAATGGAAATAACTGTATGACTGAAATATATCAGTAGACAACAGTATCAATATATACATGCATCCATGCAACTAAAGAATCTTATACCAAAGCTTAGTCTGCGGTCTGTACTTATTTCTTATAACATGCTAATCAGCTGTATATTTGTGTTTTATTTTTGAATAAACAAAATAAATACTTAAATGAATAATAAAAACTAAAAGATGTTACCTTAAAATCTGTTCAAAGTTTTATGAGTAAATAGTACTTCTTATGTATAACTGGTATATGTGATTGTATTAATTATTATTATATTATTAATTATTTATTTATTTTGTATTAATATGATGAAACAAATTACCCTTTGCATTCGTTCGACTACACTTCTTTAAAGAGAGCTTTGTCTTCACTCTTTCAGTTTACAATAAACAATCAGATTTTTTTTCTATACCTGGTCTAACACCTTTATTACAATTATTTTGAAAACAACAATAATTTTTTCATACAGGGTGATCCAAAAATGTCAATCATGAAGGAATCTTTATGAATTTTTGTGTTGACAGGGTGTTCAGTGTATGAAACATTGGCATACTTGCATAGCTTATAGCACAAACAACTTGCGCATAAGATTTAGAAATATCATGTTTTCGTGGAGGCATGCTCTGACACCAAATCATTCAAAATCATTCAAAGTTAGGAAATCTGTCTTCCTTAAAAATGTACCTAATAAGCAAGTCAGTTCATCATATTTCACAAAATTATTAAAAATGGGTAGATGTGACATGTAATTGATAATATGTGTGAAAGCAATCTAGAAATGACTCAAATATAATGGCTTAGATAGAAATCCCAATTTCAGAAAATTGTATTTTTGAACATTTCTCACAAGAGAGTATACCTGGAAAGAAAACGTGATTATAATCCAAATCTCAAAATCATAGATGCAGTATAAGTAGACCACTGTTTTTACAATTGAGCAATCTATCTATACAAAAAATCATTTAAAGAATCCATCCTATTTCAGTTATTCAAAAAATGAGAGGGTAACATTTCTTTTGGGTCACCCTGTACAAACTTTTAATGTCTGTATTCAATAGCATAACATGTACAGTAAAGGATGAGTTTGTGTCCAAGGAGTACTAAGATCTTCTGACTGGTGTTGAAAACAACTTATGTTTTTCCATTTTGATACGTGTTAAATTGACAAAAAGCCTGAGACTGGTTTGTCTCTAGATCTATGGAATGATGATGTACCAGTGAGAACAGAGTGAATGGGCAAGTATGTTGCTGAAACTGTTCTACAGTGTTGTGTCGATATGAATAGCAAGGTCATTATATACAAGTCAACAGAATAGCCCTTTAACAGAACAAGACATTTTACTCCAAAACCAACACTCAGTGATTCTTATAAATACCATATGTGTACTGTAAATGCATTGCTTACAATTGAGAAATGTCCAGAACATGGCGGCTAAAACTGTTCAAATTTTCATTGATCTAAAATAAATACAAAATGTTTGATATTCCCATATGGAAAGTTGTAGATATACAGTTTGGTACAAGAGTGTTTTATGCAATGCTTACCATTTTTGATTCCATCGAAAAATATTTTCAGATGATTTAGAGTATGAATTTCAGTTACTAGCCTTTCAATTAGGCCTCCTCGTATTAACCTTTGAGTCCAACTCCACTATGTTCAAGCTTGTACAGCAAAGATAATTGTATCTTTGGCAACCATAGATTAATCAGTCTTAGAGAAGACAGATGGACAGAGACAGACTGGTAGGTTCAAGATTGACAGGATGACTAAAGCCCTCAATTGTAAAAAGAAACAGACTTAATTACACTGCCATCTTTCAATTGTAATTAAAATATTTATCTCCCTTGATCTATTTGAAGCGTTATTAACAATAAAACAGAGATACTATATACTGTATGTCTCTGAATAAACAAAGCATTCCAAGACATCTTCTCTAAGAGCGCTTACAAAATGTCAGGCAAGTTTGCATTACTCTTCAAGCCTGTAGCCACCTATAGCCAAGGGGGTTCAGTTCTTAAAAAATTCAAGGGGGTTCTTTGACAATTTTGGCCCAAAATCTCTTGAAATGTGCTCAAAATGGTGAAAAATTGCATGATTTTGAAAGAATTTTTAACATCATGAGAAAGTGAGGATTTACCTTAAAGTCCCCGTCTAAAGTTTGAAAATATTTTTTTATCATTCATTTACTATTTGTCAGGACTTAAAAAGTGGTTTTAGAGATTTCTGAACAAAAAAAATTTTTGAAAAAAAGTTGTGAGCATTTCATTTCTCAAATATTCAAATTTCCCGCCATTTTTCAAAAAAAGTTGACATTTCTTAATCATCAAATATTTCTTAATGCATTTCAAAAAAGATTATCTTTTTAACACCAATGCAAAGATTGAACAAAGGACACACTATTTCAATAATAAAATACCATATTTAATGGGCCACTTCAATGTTTTAGCATATCAAAAATATTTTGAAACATTAGTGATGTCACTAAGGGGCGGGGTCAAAATATCAATGTTCATATGGAGACGAAAGTAATTTCGCTTGGACAACAACCCCCCCACCCCCCCTCTAGACGAAAGCTTAGGTCACTTCAAAAAAACATTGATTTTCGTGAATTAACACACGTTCGCAATTTAACTGCATTGAACTCTTCAAAAGGAGGAGGGAAAAGTACGGAATTTATTTGAAAAATGATCGAATTATCGTCTTTATCTACCGATATTTTGGACCTATCACACAAAAAAGCTCACGAACTATTGAAAACAAGCCTTTTTATCAGAAATTAGTGCCAGAAAAAGTGGGTAAGTCCAATTATTTTTTGTATATCAGATCCGAATTATCGATGTTTTTTTGGTCAACGAAAGTGCCCAAAAACCCCCTCCCCCCTCGCGAAAGTACTTTCGTCTCCATATGAACATCGATATTTTGACCCCGCCCCTAAGGTACCAAAAACTTTTTGAAAAAAATTGAATTTTTTTTTTGATGTCAATCTTTTCTAAATATGTTAGACTTTCATAAAAAACCAATGTTGATTGTCTAACCAGGTCAAAAGGAAGAATAAATTATGTTTTAGATATCACTGTACCATTGGTTTCTATGAGAACTAAAATTTTGAAATGCATTTTTCTCAGAACCATTTTCATGCACTGATAAGTTCATTTCTCGCTTATTTATGAACTGATTTTCTTAATTTTTTCGGCAAAAAACATGGGAGGATGAATGCTATACACTGGTATGAATTGTGGCTAATTAGAAGATATGAGTGACCTCTAAAAGTTGGTTTTAAATAAATTCACAAATTTTGGAACAAAAAGTCTATCAAAAACCTTTTTGAAATTAAAAAAAAAGTTTCACATATCACACTTTGATAACATTGGGTAAGACTACAATATAAGCAAAAGTGGTTTAAACTTTATATAGGGCCTTTAAAAGACGTCCTAACTCAAAAGACGTCTTAACTCAAAAGCGTTTTACGTAAGACGTCTTAGGAGTATCATGTAAATTCAGGTAATATCAATGGAACTCACCATCTTCAAGAAAGAATTTATCCAGCTGATCAGCCATTGCATTCAGATGGTTCAGTTCATCATTGCTCTCAATCTCTGGGAACACAAGCATATCCTGGAAAGAAGGTAAGTTAAGTATGTATGAGCGTTATGTAATAAAATGGGATGTTTTGGATATAGGATTTATCCTAAGGGGAATACATGTAGCTCCCAAAAGACTGGCTAATTCTCATCATCCTTTATGCCTCTACTAGTAAAATGGTAATTTTTTAATTTAATATTCTAAAATCTAAGATGAAACATGGGCTTTTAACTAGAATTAATTGAAAGCCCATGGATGAAATTAGGTAATTAGGATGACATGTTACAATATGACCACTTGAAATATCAACATCTACTTATTTCTGATTCAATGTTCAAGCACTTCATACGCATCTTCTCACGCTCGATCTTCACTGTGTTCAGACAGGTGGGAGCCGAGTGAATGAAGATCATCACGTATCATGCATTATACCACTCTATGTCCGATTACAGGTGTATTACATGGGTCTATAACAACGATATACAGTGGAAAGTGGTATATCGTCATCGTATACAACTCCTCCGTATACACTCCAGCGTATACCACTGTCGAAGTGCATTCTGGGAACTAATGAATATTGACCGAAGAACGAGGTGTATGTTTTGTGACACATGATTTCCTAGAATCAAGTGACGTCATAAATGGTTCCCAAATGATTTGCTAGAATCAAGTGACGTCATAAATCGATCGAGATCAACATCGGCATTACTGAGTTGGCTATGGGATATTTTTATGTTTTTTATAATTGTTATGATTGTGTTTGAATCAACTGTAATTGAACTTAGAGTGGCATAATAAGATTATATAATGGTTCATTCTGTATATCGTGCATTTTATACTCTCGTGAGAATATAATATATTCACTCGTTCGCTACGCTCACTTATGAATATATTATAATCACTCAGTATAAACACGATATACAGAATGAACCATTATATAACCTCATATTCCAATATATCTACCACATGGCGCAACACATGTTATAAATGGTAGGACTTTAGTTTTGAACTATCTCAGTGCGATTATTACTGTTATAAGAAATGTTTATTCAGGTAGAACATGAATGATGAGGCAAATGAGGCGCTTGCGATTTTTTAACATACTAGAAATAATCCTCTATCAATGATTCTATCAATTTTCTATTAATTTAAATTAATTGAAAGTTTTACAGATTTTTGATCTTATAAATAATAAATTTTTGATTCAATTGTGAACAATTTCATTCCGTAAGAGTGATCATCATGTTCACTTATTGCTAGGCAGGCAGGGCAATGTTTGAAAATATGTTTCACCCCGTCACTTTTTTCTCCCTGGCTACGTCACTGCATGAGCCCATGGTAACTGGTACCCCCTAGGAATTGCCTTTCTGTTGAAATACACTGAGACTACACTTTGTTAATGAATACGGAGTGGCTCCAGGACCGACAATTGTCGGTACTGGAGACTGTCCAGGGGTATTTGCTGGGGTACCGACAATTGTCGGCGCTCTATCGTCAACTAGTAGTGCCAGATAGAGAACCGACAATTGTCGGTACGCAAGTGGCTGCTACGTGTTTTTGCTAGAGAGCCGACAATTTCATAAATAAATCCACTACTTTTACTTTTGGAAATAACTTTATCACTGGTAGTCTAGTGGTTAGCGAGCACGACTCGAACACACTCGGTCCCGAGTTCGAATCCCGGCAAGATCTTCTTTTTTTCTTTTGAGGGGGGGGGGCATAGTGCTTCTTTTGCAGTATGGAATCGTACAGGCATTAACTTGTAGTGAGCCATAATTTATTTCGACTAAAATTGATTCAACTTCCATCAAAATTGTCCTACAAGCTTCAGTTAAAAAACATTTTAAAGCTCTTTTCTTGTTCTATCTAATGGGTCGATATATACAGTTAGGGGAGGGGATGCTTTCGCCCCCGTCACTCTCTACCCTTACTACGCCATGGCACAGGAGAAATATCTCATTTCGAATATATCACTGTTTACTTTGCGTTTGGTAGCTCTCTCATGCGAGATGGAATCGTGGCCATTAACTAAGGGAGCCAAATGCATCAAAAATTGTGCTATAAGGTATGAGTACCATAATCCAACACCAAATTCGAAAATTCATAACAATACTTTGCACATATGGCGTTCGTGATCATTTATAAAACGCTTACCCACCATAGTGTTATATATCAAAATGCACCTGGCCATATAGGGGTTCGATTGACCTACATCAAATTATAGGGAGTCAGGTTACTTTTTGAGATATCAGCGTCCGTTTATTGTAACTCGCGTTTGCTACCACTTCCTCAATTCTGATATGACGGGCAAACGCATAGTAAACATGCTCACGTTCGGAACTATTTTGACCTACATCGCTATTTTCGTAATTCAAATGAAAGTTGAACTCCTCTTTATTTTGATACCAGTAGTGGCATACTAGGTATCCTAGAAGCCAACTATGGGTTATTTAGAACGATACCACAGGTTTTTAAATGGACTATATAGGGGTCATACCTTTTGGCGGATGGATATGGAACCTCATACCATAAGCTTCAGATAAAAAACATTCTAGCTATTTTCTTCTATCTAATGGGTAGCAAACTCCCCTTTCTACGCCTGATCGACTCAGGAGAAATATCCTGTCTGTTTAGAATATATATAGCCGTTTACTCTGCATTAATAGCTCTTTAACGTCTTACTTGTTCATGTTTTTTATTGGGCCTTTCAACGTTTACTACCATTCCCTGTTCCCGGGCTACCATTTTTTGACTGGGTTTGGTAATCCCCGGGTAATCGGGGCTAATGCCCTCCCCGGGTTTTGCACTTGTTCCCAAAATATCCGTATGATATCTGAAATATCCCCCCGCGCATTGCGCATGCGCCAGAAAATTCGAAAATCAATATTTGTCGGTCCGGTCCTCTAGCGTGTAAACACAGCATATCTCCCGTACCGACAATTTATTTGTCGGTCCTCTAGCGTGCCACCACATCAGAGTCTAGAGTACCGACAATTGTCGGTACTCTAGCCTTTACGTAATGAATAAGGTCACCATCACTGCGATGTTGCACAGTGGTCATAGTGGCTGCGACATCTCAGTAAGTGTGATATGTAATAAATGATCCATAGGCCCCGGGTACATGTATAAAATAGCGATACATGTTCCCGGGGCCTATGGAATGATCCCTCTCCACATTTATGGGGGTACTCTTCACCAGATCTCAGACCCGTCACGTCAGACCTCACTCAGATCTAAAGATTATTCTTCATCAGTCCAATACCTGGATCGGACCCACATTTCAATAAATACTTATTTACACATACCTTTTCGAATTTACCTAAGAACAACTGTTTTGCAAATGGGACATTTGTGACTGGTTTGACATTTTCAACAATTTCTGCTTGCCCTCGTCCGGAATAATCAGATTCAGCCATGTTTGACGCATATTTCCGGCAGGGTATTACACGTTTTATTTTCTGTAAGTGTCCTATATTGTTCCGCCGTAAAGCCAATCGGCATATATTTGTGCAATTTGTAGAAAACATGACAAAACAACAAATTTTATAACTCAAAAAAATATTGTGTGACTTTCTTCAGGAAAGACGAACAGACTCGTTGAACTAGTTCAATTCTAAAAGGGGTGGTAGGTTAACAAAATATATTCCAGTTTTATTTTCATAGATATTTGCGTAATCTTCACTTAAAAGCTATATTTCGCATCATATTTATTATTCAATACATATATCTCAATGTAGCTAATTAGAAATGAATTTGAAAAAGAATAGACGTAATTTCATTATTTTTCATTCAAACCTAGAACCCCTTTATGATATACTGTAATAGACTCTTCCATTTAGGGGGAATCCCAATTTTTAATAGTCTACAGGAAAAGGACAGATCACCCATCAATGTTAACAGGAGTAATAGGCCAATAAACACTGAAGAACAGAATCAGTGAGTTTAAAAGTTGATTCAGTCTCTTTCATACAATCATGCGAACAAATCCCGGAAACAAATGTCATGAAAGCCCATGATTTTATCTAATCTAGCTTCTAAAAAGAGTCACTGCTGAGTCAAAATCAAAATTTTAGTGACACTTTGAATCACAGGCAATGGAACATTTTATTTACTTATGTATAGAGAGTGGGGGGGGGGGATTATTTCTATGTTCCATTGCCTGTGCTTTGAATCTAAAAAAATAAGTAATTACTTAATGGACAAATAAAACAGTACATTGCGTGGCCTAACTTTTGTATAATTTTGTTTGTTTTGTAGTTTGATTATCATACATGTATGACATCTTCGCACACTCACTCAATCTTCACTGTAACTAACCAACAGGAGCCGAGTGATTCAGTGAACGAAAATGATATGTGTGGCCTCTACCCTAGACTGGGGGTTTCACTGTATTCAAAACTTGGCTGGGGTCTTAGGCTGAACCCTCAGATATCAATATGTTCCCATACCAATCTGTCAAATTTCAGTGGGTTCCCATACCAACCAATGCAAAGTACCCCATGTGCGCCGACTGATCCCCGTCAAGGTTTATATACAGTGAACCCCCAAGGGGGTAGCCTCTATTATGTTGATGTTTTTCTGCCATGTTATTCCACACATCAATGATTGGTTGACTTCATATATTAACTTAACAATTCAAGATCCTCTCCTATGTAGAAAGTTTATAATCTACATGTCATTGTAGCATTTTGTGTCTTGTATTCTAGCATAATTGGTCAAAATGGATGCAAAATCAAAGAGAAAGAAAATGAATGCAGTGCATATAGCCATCCTTAAAGAAAAAGAGACCTGTAAAATCTTGGTTGAAAACCTAAGCATACAATATATACTAAACCAATTGGACCAGGCAGATATATTAGACTTTACAACTAAAGAAAAGATCAACAAAACACACAGCTTCAATGATAAAGTGGCAATTTACCTTGACTGGTTCATAGTGAATGGAAAGGATGGTGACTTTGAACATTTTGTGGAAGTATTGCAAAATAACTGTGAATCACACTTGGCACAACTTCTGCTTGATAAACTGGAGAGTGGCGAGATTTCCAAAGTTGTTGAAGGTACGTATCAATGAGTTATTTATACATTTCTGATCCAGCAAGGAAAAAATAAGACGTTAATTCAAAACAATTTTTTTTAGATCAACATTCAAGTATTTTGGAGCAGTTCAATTTGCTAACCTTTTCAACATTTTCTCATTTAGTACCTTTTCAACATGTGTCCAATTAATAACAGTTGTGGATAGTTATGGTTTGACCCCCTCCCTTCATCTAAAGAAATTATCAACATTTTCTAATTTTGCAACCTTTTCAACATTTTCTAATTTTGAAACCTTTCAAACATTTTCTCATTTTGCAACCTTTTCAACATTTTTTAATTTTGCAACCTTTTCAACATTTTCTAAATTAACCTTTTCAACATTTTGTAACCCTTTCAACATTTTTTTCATTTGAAAACCCTCTCAACATTTTATCATTTTGTAACATTTTATCATTTGATACCCTTTTCAACAATTTCTCATTGCTTCCAGATACAACACTTCCAGAAGATGTCCTTCAAAGAGCAGTGTCAGAAAAAGATCTGATGCGACTCTCTAAACACGTTGGTAACAAAGGCTATGAACTCGGACAATTACTAAACATGAGCAGTGGAGAAATTCAAACACACTTAATGCAAAACGCTATGTACCCTTCTGCAGGGATCAACTCAATGTTGGTCTCTTGGAAACAGAAACAGGGAAGTAAAGCCAAAGTGGGGGATATCATCGCCATCTTTGAGGAATTGGAGATCCCAAGTGAAGAGTACATCAATGTATTCCGTTGAAGAATTATACAAATGTTTCCCTGTGAATAGATGGCGTTTATGGAAATAACCTTGACCTTTATACCAACTGAAGGTATTTTTTACTAACTAAACGATAGCATTGATTTTGCTGATATTATTTATAAGTGTACATGTACACTTTGATGTTGCTGGTAGCTCCACTATATACAGCCATATGGATTTGATATACATGTACATACATGTAGATATATTTGTATCAGCGTGTTTTACAGATCCATCTGAAAATAATCAAAGGATCCAATATCGTACAATTTTTTCTCGATGTCATGTTTATCAACTTGTAGGTCAATACTGGAATCAACTTGTTAATAAAAATTCATCACTTGAAATCCTCTTATATTACAATACAATAACAAACACTAGATTATGTAAAATATATATTGTTCATGTATTTTTCATACAAACATAGTAATGAACATTTTGTAATGGGTTAGAGAGTATGAGCATGACCTTATCAAACTTTATTATTGCATGGGTCACAGGGTGTGATATATTTTCAGACCAACTTATGGGCACAATATTGCCAATATATTGAGAGTAAAAATGACAGATCGACCCTGTCAGCACCGCACCCGCTTCACAAACTTCAAGAAATATCGAGAAAGGAGGAAGTTTTAACGAATACATAAAAAATTGAATTTACAAAAAATCAAGTAGGTGATAGTAGAGTACCTTCACTAAAATGCGGTAAAAGTGATGCATTTTGTAATTCCTTGCATCCTCCTGATATATATCTCGTGTTGGGGGCTTTCCACCCCGTACTAAACTAATATTGTCTCAATATAGTCCACAATGAATGAAGGAAATGTTCAAGTTCTTGTTTTGACATTTAACCAAGAAAGCTTCTGTACATGTATATGTTTTCTGTGCACCTCAAGGTTGTGATCTTTCTTAAAATAATGTGTAACTTTAGATCGATATCAAACAGTCTCTAATGGAAATAATAAAGATGATCGAGGAACACAAGTCCTTCAATCTGTGGGCTCCTTTGGAGATTTTTACAATATATTTTCTTTGGTTTTGGTTTCATTTTAGTGATCTTTACAGTAAATTTCCAATAACAATCCATATCATTATTGTCAAATATACTGTTACTTGTTTTGATGTTGTATATAATCCATTCTTGGCAGGAAAAATAGCCATACAAGGCTCCCTTGACTGTCATTAGGTTCATAGAGGATCAAGGTCACATTTATGTTCCATCTTTGACATGATTAATGAAATACAAATGAACTTACAGTGTACTTGGCAAAATTCATTTCTTATGCCTTTTCCAAATTTTGTTTAAATACTAGTATTGTATATGAACTACCTCATATACATGTATATTTAGAGGTTACATGTATGTCACTATTACATGAAATATGCCCCAGTTCTCCCAATATAGGCCAACCTTGGGAGGCTCTATATTTTGGCAAGAATGAAGGCATATTTCCCGTCATAGTGACATAACTGATTTACTTACTTTTATTCCCATGGCTACTTTGTATCAAATCAATGATGTTACACATCTATGTAAGAGTAAAATATAGTTCATTATAGAGGATATTCCCAAGGGGAAATCATTTACACTTTTGCTCGAAATTAGGCAGTCACTATTTGTTTTATTATATACCCTATACCGACTCTTGTCCTGTTTCCTCCGCAAAGGCCAAAAGAGATTAGAAATCCCCCCCCAGGTCCATTGTTAGCATTACAAGCTGTGACGTCATAATATGCTCAACAGAAATTTTTTCCTACGAAATTTCTGAGACTCTCACTTGACAAATTCAATCGTGTTTGACACGCAAAATAGATTATCATAACACTTGAAATTACACAGACGTATTGAGCTTAGGGAACTTTATCCACGTTGCTTATATTGTATCGTTCACGCATGTCTGTCATGGTGAACGGAGTTGATTTGTGCTTATCCTCAATTTTTCTGTTTTTTGTCTGAGCAGTGATGATGCGCAGACGTTTCCAAGCGTAATAGAAGTTGCAATCGTGACGTCAGCGGGCAATAGTTCAAATGTATATTCCCGCTTCTTTCATTTGAGGGAATATAACTTTCGAAGGGAAATAGTAAATCTATTTCGGGACACGTGACTAGGTATTGACCAATCAGGATTAGTGATACATATTGGGTATACAATAAGAGTAGATATAGCCTGCAAACTTTCCCATTGACTTCCATACAAAGTTTCACTAGGTATGTAATACATATATATGTACAGTATACAAAGACAAGGCATTAACATGACAAAATGTTGCCACCTAGTTGATCACAATATTATGAGTTCAATCTTAATCTGATTTAATTTTTGAGAACTTGTAGATGATTTTGAAATCAATTGGTCAATTTGAGTTGAAAAAAAGAAAAAATTTAATCAATTTGAAGCAAGTTGAAAAGACCTTTTTGACCTTTTTAACCTGAAGACCTTTTTGACCTTTTTTAACTTGAGAAGGTCATTGAAGGTCAAATCTCAAATCTAGTCAGATTTTAATTTCTGAGAAGTCTTAGATGATTTGGGAAAAAAAATTGTCAATTTAAAGCAGGTTGAAAAAAGACCTTTTTTGACCAATATTTTACAAAATCTTAAAAAATACAAAGTCAAATAACTGATAACTTGTAGGTGGTTTTGAAAAAAATTAAAGACATTCAAATATTTGTTAAGTTCTTGGAAGTTGTAAGAATTTGTTACAGACATCAACCGCCACCCGCCGATTGCCAACCACCAACCATCAACCCCCGTCACAAAAAATGGAGACATCACCACTTGGTGGTGACAAAATAGCTAATGGTGAAAGTTGTGCATACATTACATATAGTTGTTCCAGTTCACTAACACCTTAATAATTTTCAAAATACATGTAGCACCATATTTCTTGTGTAAGAGTTGAAGCTCAATCTATAACAAAAGTATGTTTAACATATAAAATAATATCTACATCTAACTATACATGTCTGTCAAACCTGATAAACCATAATACTGGTATCTGATTTCTTTTTGCAAAAGTTTATGAAATGAGTGCCATTGATAACTGTGTCTGACTCAAATAATTTTGAAACTTTAAAACACTTCTCTTCAATCACATGTTAATATTATGCACATGAGGTATGAGGATTTCTCCATATTCTTTAAGTACCAGGTAAGAGGAGGGAAAGCCCCAGAGTTTAGGAGATGACAGACATAATTACGTCTCTTGCTTCGTTTGTTAGAATTTTCACCAGCTAGTTTCCAAATACTACACTTCGATATGATGTTTTAATTGATGTACGCTTTTCTTTATCTTGATGTGAAATAAGAAGCTATGATATTGGTTAACAAATTTTTTACTGATCAGAGATATATGTCATCTCAATACAGATTTACATTATAAGCGTATGTCATCTTTGAACTCTGGGGTTATTCCCCCTCTGGTACAAGGTACAGCTGTACATTCCCCCAGGCTAAATAGAATGAGCCTCGATGCAACTGAAAGACCAGGAATGTTCACTATACAAATGTACACTAATTCTATGTACAATGTCTAATGTAATAGCTGATGAAAATCTACATCTGGTACTAAAATATGGATAACCAAGATCTCCTTCATGGAACCAATGCAACCAGATTTCTATTTCATACATATCCAATCTAGGACATTGTTGTACAGATCTCTGAAACTCGTAGTTAACACCACTCTCAATTCTCTCATAAATCTCTAAAAGTTTGCCTCATCGTTACAAATCCTTTAAGTTGACTTAAAATAACTTCAGGAGGAATACAGGGATTTCAACATCCTCGCAACCTTCTTCAAAATGATCACGGGAGTTAGTTTCACTCCATCACTATGCATTCCCTTAGTTGATTATCCAGGTAGGAATATAGGTTTTTCTACATCAGAATCCTTTGTCTTTCTTTTCTTAACAGTTTTCCCAGAGGAATAATCATTGTATATGGCACATTTTCTGGCAGCCATTTGTTTGGCAATGTTCACTTCAGTTTCACTTGTGTCGTAGAGATCAAGAGTAATTGTTCCATTGCACCCACTGGAAACAAACAGTAAACAAGGCATTAACATGCAAAATGTTACCACCTGCCATTTCTTACAGACACCAGCCACCAAACAGCAACCCCTGAACACCCTCGCGTCCATCAAAAAGTTGGAGATTATAACAAAAATACTCATATGCTAAAACCTGTCTCATCTGAAGAACGCTACTTGGACTGACCAAAAGTGGTCCCATTTCAAGGTATTTAATTATGTGAGTCAATGGGAGATAACAAATTTTGGACCGATAAAAAGTGTTTACATTGAAAAGCATTCGAATAAGAGAGGTGATCTGATACACATGCTTCACTGTATAAGATAGTGCCTCAATCCTATTATATCATTCTGATTGGTCAGAGAGTTACTCTTACCTGTAATTAACAAATGACCTAGTTATTGTAAAATAAAGTATTACATTTCTGTTGAATTTTTAATAGCTTGCCAGTGATGAATGTTAATATCAATTTGAATGACTTATCAGAGTCTAAACATACCTGGACTTAATATGTGCTATGAGAGTCTTCCCTTCAGCTAACTCTTTAAAACACTGCCTACAACAAAAATACCATATAACATACATTATATTAAATTAGTATATTAAATATAAGAAGAGAAGATGTATTCCAAATCATAACACATTACATCTACAGGGATTGAAGACCTACACAGAATTGGTAAAAATTGAATTACAGACCAATTGCAATTTCATTTTCCTTAAACATTCTTGAGAAATGGGGTCATTAACAGAAACTTCGTAAGATTACGAATTCGTAAATTTTAATCGCTGTTATCATGGATATAATGACGTCACAATAAGTTTCTGTTAATGGCCCCCAGATTTACAATTTTGCATCCATTGCAAAAATGAACAAATCATACAGTGATATATTTCAGAATTTTGAAAAACAAAATGGCTGCCTGCCAGCCCTTACCCCCTTACTCTCACCCACCAGCCTAGTAGCACAAGAGGACACTATAGCACTTATCAAAATGTTACGAGAATATCAGGAAATTAAGCCTACCTTGCTTGTGTGTCCCACTTTTCTTGAAGAGGCTCTAGACCTGCTAGGAAACACTCAATGGCTTGGAACTCAAAGCTTATAAACCGAGGTAGGATATCTCTCACTCTTGATTCGGGCACCCACTCTGTATTGCCGTAGTCTACATAGAATACCTAACAAAACATTGGTATCAATTGCTATCAAATCGAAGATTGAAGGCAAGGCAAGGAATAAATAAAATATTAGCGTTTTTTAAATTGAGTGAAAAAAAATTTATCGGCCAACAAGGAATTTTTTAAGGAAATATATCTGATAGAATTAAGATAGATGGATTGACATATTGCATTAATATGGTAATTATACAGTATTTTGCTTGTGTATCAAATTCAATCGTGTAGTTATCTATAATTTCCAGCTTTATCACTAGCACATTTTTTCTTGAAACATATAAGAGGATAGTTCTTTGCCTTGTGTATGTTTTTTGACTAACACACATTAGGTTTTTTTACCCTGACAATTTCACTCTATTAAGAATCTATAGAGATAACAGTAACACAACTGGGGGATTTGTGCCAAAATAATAAAGATGAAACAAACCTCTACTTTACTGTTGTCCAGATCTTTATCTTCCTGAGTATTAATGATCTTCCCCCTATACCAGTTGTTATCCTCTGTGAACCTTACTGCCACATTCTCCCCCAGAGCATATGCCTCCATACCCCTAGTCCTCATTGCCCCCTTTGTGTTATAGTATTCACTGAAATACAACACAGATATATGCAGAATGTAACATTATCTATTAATATTCATTATCATTATTAATAATGTTAAACCAAAATCATTGGGGATCAACTGGAAATAGCATGACTGGACTTACGGTTGATAATGATTTTTATTTTTTCGATTTTATCACCATTCTTTATATTTCAACTAAATATTTGGCCCGTATGTAGTGCATATATTCCAGTTTTGAAATATGGTTATACTCAAGAATACATGCAGTAATTGTTTGGATAACATGTCCCCATCATTGGGTGATCCTGTAGATTTTTCGTCCTCAGTGACCGACACAAATTAGTTGAAGAGACCCAACTTTAGGACAAAAATTCCAACATGGCCGCCACAAAAACATATACCCAAAATCCCCCAAAACGTATCAATTTTAACTTTTCATACAAAGAATCATCCCTGAAAATATAAAATGGACCACCGACAAGACTTGACTATTTTTGGACGGAAAATCCAAAATGGCCACAAATATTTACCCATAATACCTTAAACCTATTCAGTTTAGATTTTCATACAAAAAATCATCCCTGAAAATTTGAAATCGATCCGTCAAATGGTTCACCTGAAAAATGTAGACAAGACCTTACAAACATGATCTTAGGATAGAAAATTCAAATGGTCACCTTTACATTTACCTAGAAACTAAACACTTCAAGATTTTCATACAAAAAATCATCCCTTAAAAAATTGAAATCAATCCGTCAAATGGTTTGCCTGGAAAAGCGTAAACAAGACTTTATAGACAAGATTTAAGGATGGAAAATCCAAAATGCCTGGGCCCTAACATTTATCCAGAAGACGCAAAATTCTCATACTAATAATCAACTAAAAAATGAAAAAAATGTTGTATTGTAATAAGTGAATGGAATGCCTAGTAATTCTAAAATGCTATCACAATTTCATGGGAAGTTTCTCTGGGTTTTGTGATCTCATGTTACTATAGTAACCATAACTCTACCTACATTTCATAATATTTTTGAAACTTTTAGTTTTACTGCAATACTTCAAAGTATATTTTGTAAAAATATGAAGACATATGATGCACTGATGCAGTATTAACAAAATGTTAGAACCCTAACATATTGTAGACTAGGGAAATGTGAAATGTGATTATAATATTTCATCATTTTTAATATTTATCATCGATAAACCATTTTAAGGTGAACAATGACATCAACATATTATAAATTATTAGTTATTATCATGAAAATTACATGCAGAGTATCGCATCGTGCAGATCTACTTTCAACCATTATTACCACTTTGCCCGGCCAGTTCTAGGGGTTTTAGTGCTATATCGACCTGAGAAATATGTGATGTCATAATAGTGGTCAAGAATGCATTTAATGACCAGTCGAGAATGTATTTAACCACCGGCAATTTTCCCTGGGAAATTAGAATCGTTCAGTGTGTAAGATTTTCTCGCTGTTTCAGTCCTGGTCATTAACGGTGGTAATAATACTAATAACGTCATTTTATGCGGGCAATATAGTGAATTATCCTATGCCAAGTAGAGTTTTAGGGAGATAAATTGGTAAGATATACCCCGTATCCTGATTTTGAGGTTTCCATATCCAGAACCTCCATATCTCCCGCCATATCTCCCGCTTCAGTGCATATCTTCCCGCTTCGGTGCATATCTTCCCGCTTCCGGTAAGTAGTGGAAATGCAATAAAATGACTTTGCATATGAATAATTTGTTTATTTTTACACCTTGTACTATTGAAATGACCATATGCCCCTGAAAACTCTACTTGGTATAGAATAAAGCAGTTATGTACGGTCGGTTTGGATATTGGGTTCATCCCTCGTGAGATATACACATCTACCTTCAGTCCCTACGGTTCCTCGGGTAAATATGCATATCTCCCTCTGGATAAACCCCATATCCAAAACCTCCCAGTACATAACCCTTATATATTGTACCTTGGGCCTTTGGCCCTCAGTCCAATATTTCACTATATTGCCCTTCGAAATGACATTATTATTGTACTATTAATACTGCATTCCTGGGTCTCAGCAATAAATGTGTCAAATAAACATAGCTAGCATGTTCTCGAATAGGTTTATTACTTGTGGCATCTAGTATTTCAAAGAACTGGTGATAAACAATCTTTGTTTTTTAAGATATATATGTAGTTATTTTGCAGACTTGCCAACCTCCCATTTTTTTACGGGAATCTCCCGTAAATTTTTTGTTTTTCCGTAAAAAATACCAAACTCCCGTACCGTTTTCTCCCGTAAAAACTCCCGTAAACTCTCGTACCGTATTTCTACTAAAATCTCTTTTTAAAAATATGGCCGTAAAATCTCCCGTATTTTTGCTGAAATCTCCCGTATTCTGGTGTAACTCCCGTAAAATCTCCCGTATTCTTGGTATAACTCCCGTAAAATCTCCCGTTTTCTGGTATAACTCCCGTAAAATCTCCCGTATTCTTGGTATAACTCCTGTAAAATCTCCGTTTTTTTGCTGTCGTAATCTACCGTATTTAAAAGGAATTTGACAAATTTGTGACCTTGATTATTGCAGGCACGCTTCTTTCTTTTACTCCAAGAAGGTTGGCTCCCATGGTTCACTATCGATACTTTCATAAATAACTTAAAAGTACTTCATTCCCATGATTCAAATTGCTTTTCTGCGATCAGTTCGGTATAAGTTTGCACACCAAATGTCCACAAAAGGGGGCCAGTTCATATTCTGTCATACTTCTGTCGGGAGAATACATTTTGTTTTTATATGGCGCTAAACAAAATATTCCCGCAATATAAGGCGCATTATTGGTAGGGACTGCTGTGAAATAATGAACCTAAGTGACATCTATCTTAGATTAGAAGTTCTAATTAATTTATTAACTGCGCATGCGTCATAATAATTTCAACCAATTAAATCGCTGGATTTAATGCTTATAAATCTACCGTAAAAACTCCCGTTTTTCAAAATCTAAAGTAAAAACTCCCGTTCTATCAAAATCTACCGTAAAAACTCCCGTTTTTTTCAAAATCTATAGTAAAAACTCCCGTTTTTTCAGAAATCTACCGTAAAATTCCCGTTTTTTTCAAAATCTACCGTAAAAACTCCCGTTTTTTCAGAAATCTACCGTAAAAGCTCCCGTTTTTTTAGAAATCTACCGTAAAAACTCCCGTTTTTTTCAGAATCTACCGTAAAAACTCCCGTTTCTTCAGAAATCTACCGTAAAAACTCCCGTTTTTTCAGAAATCTACCGTAAAAACTCCCTTTTTTTTAAAAATCTACCGCAAAAACTCTCGTTTTTTTCAAAACCTACCGTAAAAACTCCCGTTTTTTCAGAACCTACCGCAAAAACTCCCGTTTTTTCTGAAATCTTCCGTAAAAAAGTCACATTTTTTAAAATTCACCGCGAAAAATACCTTTTTTAAAAAATCTCCCGTAAAAACTCCCGTTTTTTTCAACATCTCCCGTAAAAACTCCCATTTTTTTTCAAAATTTACCGCAAAAACTCCCTTTTTTTTAAATCTCACGTTAAAACTACCATTTTTTTCAAAAACCTCCCGTAAAACTCCCCCTTTTTTTCAAAAACTCCCGCAAAAACTACCGGATTTTGAAAAAAAACTCCCGTAAAAGTACCGCAATTTTTTTTAAATCTCCCGTAAATTTTTCATTGTAGGTTGGCAAGTCTGTTTTGAGAAAACTTAAACTGCGATTATTTAAAGGCAACCCTTGACGAAATGTGGATGAATATTGTAATTTTTCCTACATTGTTGACTTGCGCCCAAGGCACTGACTCAACTGACAACTATCTGAATAAATGCATGCTCTTGATTCCCGAGTACTCCAAGAAAACACCGAGTCCAGAGCCAGGACTTGAGGTAAGATATTTTACGAAAGATTGCAATGTACAGTTGTAAGGCTTGTTGGTCTTTCATATATAAGTGATTGAATTTTTGCTTGAAACTAACAACCAATCAAAGCATTGGAATTCTTCATTTCAGTGTTCTACGTTCATTGGTAATTCCTGCTGTAAAAAGGGAGTAACGCTACCCTTCATGACTGACCATATATGGCAAAACATCACTGACTACCCACACTGTCCTCAGAAAGCGGCACTTGGACCTTGGATTGAATTAGCGGTAAGGGTCTTTGATGATAAGTATTTCGAATGAGATAAATACACAAATTGATTGACATCCCTTGTTGCATTTTATTACTCACATTTAACAGAGTTCGTACACCTTTTTCAAAATGAAATTCCCTGACATTTCCAGGCAAACACGGCATACTAAAAAGTCTCAAACAAGTGTATTATTTAACATTTTACGAAACATTATGGTTTGCATCACTGCAAGCCAAGGAAACTCAAAAGGGGGAGGGGGTTACATGAACCCCCGGAAGTTTTTTAAAATTCACGCTGTATTAGGTGCATTCTTAGAACTATAAATTGTTCATGTTTTGTAATGAATCCAAATGGCAACTGAAATGACAAAATTTGGATCTTGATCATACTAGAAAAATAAAAACTCCCTTGAGGGGCAATTCCCACGTAATGAAACATATTTTATCAAATACTGATCATCAATAGTGAACATTACATGACAGCAATAACCTGGCATCACTATTGTCTTCTTACTTTTGGGAAAATCTATACCAAAACATGATACCATATTAGAATATTTTACTCAAGTAGCATCACAATAAGGCACAGGCATATGATACCAAATCAAATAATCGGTATTTTGTGTTATCAGCAGGAAGGAATCATATTTCGTATACTCCTCAAAAAAGTTAAGGACCAGTGGTTTTCCTCATAGGTTTACATGTTAACCCCCATATTTGTTTGAACAACTATTTTCTAAGCGTGGAACAAAAGAAATCCCAATAAAGAAAATAAATCTGTATCTTGATTCTATTCCCTATAAAGTCCGCAACATTTCAATGTTATATCTCCATTACATTGGGTACAAATTTGATGTCCCTCAGGTAGATATGCATATCTCCCTCTGGATAAATCCAAAACCTCCCAGTACATAACCCTTATTTATTATTTTGATATTATCAATAAACTATGATTTGAGGTGATATAGAGGATACTCTAAATGCAATTTTTGAAACAATTTTGACCATGATCATGCTCACAGTATTTACATTGTGATAAAGTTATGTATATTTATATGATACGATATCGTATATCTCGTATCACGTCATATTACATGCATGTATTCTTTTCCCACCTGCCTACACATAGTATAGTACACACTAAAATACATTTATGCTAGATGGCCCGGCCAAAGATGGTCTGAGCATCAGAATTTATGTTTTCTTTCCCGTGATAAAGGTCAACATTATTAATGGATTTATATTTCCATCAATTATCACAGAAATGTTTGTTCATTGCAATCGTCCCTCCTTGCCGAACACATTTAACGAAACGAACATCAATTGAGAATATTTATATTATTTCATTTTTCCTTTTTCTATGTTCTTAGACTCATGATTTACCGGTGACCCATAGGTTCAAAAACATCCCAATTTGCGCAAGTGTATGTGACAAATGGTACAAGGCATGTCAGGATGAGTATACCTGTACAGATAACTGGTATATAGGATTCAACATGACATCAGGTATGTAATTACAAAATTAGATCTTTAAAACGCTCTATAAACACCAACGATTTAACATCTGATTTAAAATTATTGTATAGGAAAGGAAGTACGAAAGTTTTCTGATGACATCACTGTTCTCCAGGTTAAAACATTTTAACTCTCTTATAGAAAATGTACATATTCAATTGTTTTATATTTCCAGGAATTAATAGATGCCATGAAGGAACACAATGTTTGAAATATCCTGAGCACTTTCCAACTTCAAAGAGTTTCTGTGAAAAAATATGGGATTATTCATTCAAGGTTGTCGCAGATGACGAGCCATGCATGCACTTTTCATACAACGCCACTTCCGGTAATAACCCAAATCGGGCTGTGGCAGAGGCTCGAGCAAGGGAACTATCCACATCGTCAAGTATCTGTATACATATGTCACAGATACTGATCGTTGCACTTGGCATTTCAGTTTTAGTCAAATAATTCAAATTGACTAAAATGAATCAAATTACTGGTTCAAATATGATTTTGCATTGCATATTTTTGACTGCTTACCAGTTCACTGGATATATATATTTTGACTGCTTACCAGTTCACTGGCTATATATTTTGACTGCTTACCAGTTCACTGGCTATATGAAAATGGCTTGTCTAGCATCAATCCAACTGATTCAGCCACACTTTTTTGATGAGAGTAATTTATTAAATTCCAAATTCCATCTTACAATATATCACTTACTTCATGAAAAGGACAACAACCACCTCATATATATTTCACGGGTCATAATTTTTAATGGTAATGTTTTAAATATTTAGGTTGCTAAGTACAACAGGCATAAAAAATGGTGTGACCGATAAAATTCATTGCATCCATTCAGACCAAGTATTTATTCAAAAAACGAAAAAAAACATCATTATAATGCGATATATCAATGTCACAGTATGGCAATAAACAAATTTTCAGTTTTTTCAACCTTGGAAGTTGGAGATGAAAACATATACATCTGTCAGTTTAGTTTACATGTAAATGTTAATCACTGCGAGGTCGCAGTGACTGCGACTGCGACCTATTCAATAACAAATTGCAGTCTGCGATGTCCTTGCGACCAGTCGCAGTGATTACCACGTGAACGTACTTGTAAACGTGTTAGTTATCCTTTCATGATCCAATTGTATCATTTCGTAAACTTTTATAATAGTTAACCTAGGCATGTGATATCGCAAAACAAGGTCCACATCATCGTATATTTGAAGAGGATCTGTACGATCTCTAAATAAGCGTTCTCTACGCAGAGCATTAAGGTTGAAATCAACTAGCTGTTTTTGATAGCATCACAAACATGTTAAACATAATGCATATGTTCTGCAATTTTAATATATCATGGATCGAATATCGAACTATACATCCTAGAATTTCTATATAATTTCATAAAGAAATTCAATTAATTTAAGACATTTTTCTTGAACTAAAATCACTGCGACTGGGTACCACCGGTCGCTAAAAAATCTACCAATCGCAGTCGCACGAGATTGATAAATAGGACGTAATCGCTAAAAAGGGCCCTTGCGACATCGCAGGCTTGCGACGTGATTGCGATAGCTTGATGAATGATCCCTCTGAGCTCCCTAGGTCACTACATACAAACTTTCAACTAAATTCTTCAACTGGTTCTTTAAACATTACATTTTTTACGCTAAATGGCCGCCATTTTGAAAATCAGTGGCCATCTTGAAAATCTCTTCTTCAGCAAAGCTTACATGTTCATGTATAAGGTTTGGCAAAATTTCCCTATTACTTCAATAAGATGAACTGTACTTACTTCATCTGCTCCATCAAGGTGTCCAGGGTCTCTCCTGGGGTGGTGCTTAAATTGCTTTCAGAGAACCCACTCTCAGCTGAAACTGAAAAACAATATTCATGTGCTGAACAATGTCTAGTTTAATCTCCATCATTTGCAACTGAGTCTGTGGTACACAAAGTTATGGAAGTAGGGTTATTCTTCAGAAAAAAGTAAAAGTTCATAAAACATCTTACCATACATTAATTTCTAATTGAAAATGCCCAAACTGGTGTCTAAATCATCCCATTTCGCCATCTTTAACCACACATGTTCAAGGCAAAAAAGTACTACATTTATTTGATAAGACAAGCTCATTAATAAAAGATGTCAGATCAGATGCCATGTTGTATTGATATGGCATAAACGTAAAAGCTTGGTTAACACATTTTGTGAATAAACATATGCATACAAACCCACATGTTTTCAACAATCAACCAACAATAACTAGAACTAGAATAAAAACAGCAACATCCCAGAGTAGCAGATCCCACTGAATAAAACATGTTTTATCAAAACACTCATCATTTACAACATTTTATGATAGACATAATCAGGTCTCCTTTTCACGCCCGGTGATCGGACAAAATGAACGGAAGGTAGAGTAGGCGATTTCTGCAAGAAAATTCAACAAATCTGGAAGATTTATTTTTTCAAGTGAAAGTTTACCACTGAATTGCTAAATGAATAGGTGCAGTACATGGTAAAATATGTTAGGTCTTCTAGTATTTTTTTTCTCAACTGATACGCTTCTAAGATATGAGATCTATTTAAAAAGGCGCATCGTCACCAACGTGCAATAGTCAATGTTTTTCCTATAAATAGGGCAACAACGGTCTACACTTGACATGACAATTGACATTGTTTTTGACACCATGTAAGAAATTCTTTCTCCATTAGAGGTCTTAGAGCCATAAAATATCAACATTTAACATTTGGGCAAAATCCAATAAATGATTTTTGAGTTATTAAGAATTACATTTCTTCTAACAAGGCATTAACATGACAAAATGTCACCACCTAAAACAATTTGGTCAATTTAAAGCTAGTTGGAAAATACCTTTTGACCTTAAGAATGTTTTTGAAGATTTGAGCTTCTGGGATCTTGTAGATGATTTTGAAAAAAGAAATTGTTCAATCTGAAGCAAGTTAAAACTAGTTGCACACAAATCTTAAGTCAGATTTGAACTTCTTAGAACATGTAGATGATTTTGAAAAAAAAATTCGTCAATTTGAAGCAAGTTGAAAAAATACCTCTTTGACTTTTTTTGACATTGAGAAGGTCATTGAAGGTCAAATGTCAAATGTAAAGTCAGATTTGAACTTCTGAGAACATGTAGATGATTTTGAAAAAAAATTAAGTAAATTTGAAGCAAGTTGAAAAAAGACCTTTTTGACCTTGAAAAGGTCATTGAAGGTCAAATGTCAAATCTAAAGTCAGATTTGAACTTCTGAGAACATGTAGATGATTTTGAAAAAAAATTAGTCAATTTGAAGCAAGTTGAAAAAATACCTTTTTGACCTTGAGAAGGTCATTGAAGGTCAAAGGTCAAATCTAAAGTCAGATTTGAATTTCTGAGAAAATGTAGATGATTTTGAAAAAAAAAATTAGTCAATTTGAAGCAAGTTGAAAAAAGACCTTTTTGACCTTTTTTGACCTTCAGAAGGTCATTGAAGGTCAAATGTCAAATCTTAAGTCAAATCTAAAGTCATATTTGAATTTCTGAGAACATGTAGATGATTTTGAAAAAAAAATTTAGTCAATTTGAAGCAAGTTGAAAACAGACCTTTTTGACCTTTTTTGACCTTGAGAAGGTCATTAAAGGTCAAATGTCAAATCGAAAAGGCAGATTTGAATTTCTGAGAACATGTAGATGATTTTGAAAAAAAAATTAGTCAATTTGAAGCAAGTTGAAAAAAGACCTTTTTGACCTTTTTTGACCTTGAGAAGGTCATTGAAGGTCAAATGTCAAATCTAAAGTCAGATTTGAAGGTCAAATGTCAAATCTAAAGTCAAATCTAAAGTCAGATTTGAATTTCTGAGAACATGTAGATGATTTTGAAAAAAAAATTAGTCAATGTGAAGCAAGTTGAAAAAAGACCTTTTTGACCTTGAGAAGGTCATTGAAGGTCAAATGTCAAATCTAAAGTCAGATTTGAACTTCTGAGAACATGTAGATGATTTAGAAAAAAATTGAAGTCAGTCTAAACAGTATTTGTTAAGTTATAGGAAGTTGTAAGAAATTGTTACAGACGCCGGACGCCAACCGCCGGACGCCGGACACCAACCTCCAACCGCCGGACGCCGTCGCAAAAAAACGGAGACCATAACAATATGTCACCACTTTTGGTGGTGACATAAAAAAAACGGAGACCATAACAATATGTCACCACTTTTGGTGGTGACATAAAAATGACAGCCATAATGAAAAAGCAACCATTATTGAAAATTTTTTCTCAAGTAAAGACCTTTTTCCATTAGAAATTACCCTTTAATATTAGAACAAAGCCTATTCAGAGGAACGGAAGGGCTGCTGCAGGTGCTCCTCTATATCCCAACTCAATCTAATTTTAGGTGATAATTTACAATCATTATCGACAGAACATGCATAACATAGCTATGCACAAACAAGTATAACTCATGATATCCTGACCTTCAACAGAAATATGACGTACATGTTGCGCTCTTTGACTTACCATCTGTGCTCGATTTCATCATATCTTGGAGTGGCCGTGTCCCAAATGGAAAGACAACATAGAAATGACACGGGTTGAATATTGACGTTATTTCAACAACGACCCAAGAGTCCTCCATAGGCAGTGTCACTGAATGTAAAGTTTCAAATACTCTTGTAACTTCAACTTTGTCCCGAGTGATGATATCTGAAAAACAGTTTTATGTCACATTAAGTGTTCATCCTCCATCAACTAAACATATTTCATGCTGTAGGAGACTGGGTTCCAAAAATCAAGAATCATTTCAACAAAAATAATTTTATGGCACATGTACACATTCACTTAATATCTAAGGTAGCATTTACGAATTCAACTGCCGGCAGATGGTTAAACCTATTTTATAAGGCCTTTTAACATATTTAAACATGATTGAAATAGTTGCAGGTACACTATTATCATATTTAAATGAGTTGGCCATAAAATAATAGGTTAATCCCTCAGCTGAAGTCACCAATGCAACCTAAATCTGAACTGTTTTCCAATCCCAATTTTGTAATCTCCTTTTGACTCTCTTTCTGAACATTTTTGCCAAGATTCAGTGGCATACAGACAAGACAGGTTTTATATGTAGAATACACCGTCGCTTCCCACTTGGTCTAGAGACCCAGTGGCATAAAAGGTCAATTCATTTGTCCCATTCATATGTGGCGGTTCATGGCCCGGTGTTAAGTCCACGGACCCAATCAGAACGCTCAGCTTCGTCACGTGACAATTATTGAAAATGTCTGAATAAATATTGCATCTTTGATTGGCCGATAGGTTTTGTGGCGTCTTACAAAACTCTGCGGAGAATGAACTCAGGTGGAGTTTATTTACACAGTGGTCAGTTAAATCGGGCAGATTTATCAAGGTGAGGTAGGAACAATCGAAACGTTGTGAATCAAGATGTGTAGAATATACATGTATGGTAATTTGCCTGACTGGATTCAGACATGGAATACTTTATAAGACTAATAAATGTTCGATGAAGTGTAACAAACATGAATGCATATAATTCCCTTTTAGATAAATAATTGATAGATTTCCTGCATAATATTATATCACCACCAGTCAAGCAAAAAGAGATAAAATATTTAGCAATAAATAATACAAGGTGACCCCATTCTTTGAGTCATAACAGGATTGTTTTATATATGTATCAATGCTACATCTCATTTATGTAGTTGAATATTGCCTTGCAAAGAACATGATCCTATAAATCTCAGATATACAGGGTGTCACAAAAAATTAAAACAAGATATACTCTTTGAGCCATGAAAGAATATTCTCGAAATTTGATTATCTAATAGACAATTTAGTTATCATAAAGATCTAAGTCATACTCTATTTAGTTTTAGAGAAAAGTTTGTTTTAGTGCCACCACCCATGTTTCAATGTTGAACAGAGACACACATGGAATAACTCTGGGAGTGATGAAGGAATATTCTTGAAATTCGGTGATCTGATGGACAATTTAATTATCACTTAAATTAAAACTTTCATCAGGTAACTTCAGGGAGAAACTTAAGGGAGAAAATCTTGTTTTAGAATCATTACCAATTTTTCGATGTTTGATATTGCATTCATTTCAACAGTGATTATGATGGAAGTAATTTAGAGCATGCCATCTAAAATGTCAAAGGATTGGTATCTTGTATTCTATTGTACAATTATATTATTGTATAACTATATTATTGAGAGGTCTAAGAAAATGTTGTTTATGCTATTTTGTTCCAACAAGGTTCGGAAAGATATTTTATTTCAGAATGGGTAGAAAAGAACAAAAACAATTGCACTAAAAAAACAAAAAATGTTAACAAAAACACTTATATAAAACATGTAAATAATTTTTGCATTAAATTGTTGTCAACCACTGACCATTACATAAAGGACAATGTTTCTTTACATAATGTTTTCAATAATTGGTTTAAGAGAAAAACAATGTTGAATTCAGCTCACCATATCGATACCAATCCTTTCTCAACATTAATTATGAAACACAAATATATAATGACTATTTTAATATAAAAGTTTATGAAACTTATCATTCATTAATGTTTTGGTCTCCAGGTGAATTCAACTACCTTAACCTTCATCAATGATTTCACCTTGAACTACGGCACAAATTATTCATTATGGCTATTATCTTTATACAATTTCCGATTACAGATTCCATCAAAATTCCTTTTTCAAGTAAAACTTATTTCCGTTGAAACAATTACTTGGTAATGAAAGGTTATACATTTCTTTTGTTATGATCTGTTCAAAGAAATTGACTTTCTACTGATAGCATCTCGTTTAATCAGTAAAGGTAGATAAAGAGGAATGCGTTTCCGTGACAACTCACATCTGCATGAAGATTAACTTTTAACTTGTGTTTTTTCTACCATGCAACTCTCTTGTCAATCTACATTTATGATTTAATCCCAATTGACGGCCGCTTGAGATTATTCAAATGGAACAGTGATTTCCAGTCATATTTGCATGCTTTCAACATGACTCGCCCAATGTATTCCAATCAATATGGAAGACAGGAAGTAAACAATACGTACTTCAAGTTCAATTCAAATTCAACAATGCTGTCAAAAGCTGAAAAAGCTACTAAAAGATGATTGATATATCATAAAATATTCAGTTTATCAATGTCAAAATCAATATGCATGTACAAGTCCATAAATCAGATGAGAGAGAACTATACTCATAATGTGTTATATTTTATGATCACTCAAAGCAGCAGTGACTTAAAGGTAAAAAAATTAGTACCGTGGGTACTGGGCTCACATGGTGACAGAAAAAAACGGATATAATTTTTTGCTGATTTTTTGTTACAAAATTATTTCAAGCCATCTGTCTCTCAGTCAATTAAAATGGCTGAAAAAAAAACGGATATAATTTTTTGCCAATAATTTGTAACAAAATTATTTCATACAACTACTCTTTACAGTGACATGGCTTTTTGCAATGCAAGATACCTGAAATTATTTGTTAAGCTAGGAAATGGGCCAAAATTGAATTTCGCGAGACAAAAATGGCGACCATTTTGAAATCAGGCAAGCTTTTGAACCAGGAGTCATAGGGGAGTTTTTTGTATTGATATTGAACAAAAATAACTTGAAACTGGAATCCTATCGACAGAGGTTTTAAGCGAATGGTCCAAAAGAGGATTTCGCGAGACAGATGGACAAATCAATGTTAACTAAAATGGCTGAAAATAAAAAAAAACTGATATAATATTTTGCCGATTTTTTGCAACAAAATTATTTCATACAACTACCTTTTACAGTGACATGGCTTTTTACAATGCAGGACAGCTGAAATTATTTGTAAAGCTAAGAAATGGGCAAAAAGTGAATTTCGCGAAACAAGAATGGCAACCATTTTGAAAATAGGCGAGCTTTTGAACCAAGAGTCATAGGAGAGTTTTTTGTATTGATGTTGAACAAAATTAACTTAAAATGGGAATCCTATCGACAGAGGGTTTAAGGTAAATGGTCCAAAAGTGGATTTTGCGAGACAGATGGACAAATCAATGTTAACTAAAATGGCTGAAAATAAATAAATGGATATAACTTTTCGCTGATTTTTCGTAACAAAATTATTTCATACATCTACTCTTTACATTGACATGGATTTTTACAATGTAGGAGACTTGAAATTATTTGTAAAGCTAGGAAATGGGTCAAAAGTGAATTTCGCGAGACAAAAATGGCGGCCATTTTGAAAATAGGCGAGCTTTTGAACCAGGAGTCATAGGGGAGTTTTCTGAATTGATGTTGAACAGAAATAACTTAAAACAGGAATCCTATCAACAGAGGTTTTAAAACGTGCCACAGAAAGTAGATTTCGCGAGTCAGATAGACAAATCAATGTTAACTAAAATGGCTGAAAATAAAAAAATGGATACAATTTTTCGCTGATTTTTTGTAACAAAATTATTTCATATATCTAACCTTTACATTGACATGGATTTTTACAATGTAGGACACCTGAAATTATTTGTAAAGCTAGGAAATGGGTCAAAAGTGAATTTCGCGAGACAAAAGTGACGGCCATTTTGAAAATAGCCGAGCTTTTGAACCAAGAGTCATAGGAGAGTTTTTTGTATTGATGTTGAACAAAAATAACTCAAAATGGGAATCCTATCAACAGAGGGTTTAAGGTAAATGGTCCAAAAGTGAATTTTGCGAGACAGATGGACAAATCAATGTTAACTAAAATGGCTGAAAATAAATAAATGGATATAATTTTTCGCTGATTTTTCGTAACAAAATTATTTCATACATCTACTCTTTACTTTGCAATGGATTTCTACAATGTAGGACACTTGAAATTATTTGTAAAGCTAGGAAATGGGTCAAAAGTGAATTTCGCGAAACAAAAATGGCGGCCATTTTGAAAATAGGCGAGCTTTTGAACCAGGAGTCATAGGGGAGTTTTTTGAATTCATGTTGAACAGAAATAACTTAAAACAGGAATCCTATCGACAGAGGTTTTAAAACGTGCCACTGTTATTGACAGAAAGTGGATTTCGCGAGTCAGATAGACAAATCAATGTTAACTAAAATGGCTGAAAATAAAAAAATGGATACAATTTTTCGCTGATTTTTTGTAACAAAATTATTTCATATATCTAATCTTTACATTGACATGGATTTTTACAATGTAGGACACCTGAAACTATTTGTAAAGCTAGGAAATGGGCCAAAAGTGAATTTCGCGAGACAAAAGTGACGGCCATTTTGAAAAAAGGCGAGCTTTTGAACCAGGAGTCATAGGTGGGTTTTCTGTATTGATGTTGAACAGAAATAACTTAAAACAGGAATCCTATCGACAGAGGTTAGCTAGGAAATGGGCTAAAAGTGAATTTCGCGAGACAAAAGTGACGGCCATTTTGAAAATAGGCGAGCTTTTGAACCAGGAGTCATACGGGGGTTTTCTGTATTGAAGTTGAACAGAAATAACTTAAAACAGGAATCCTATCGACAGAGGTTTTAAAACGTGCCACTATTGTTGACGGACAGACAGACGGACGGACGGACGGACAGACAGACAGACGGACAAGTGAGTGATTGCAAAAGCTCACCATGTGAGCTAAAAAACAGAGAAAAACTCTTGTTTAAGTACTCAATGTCATGCCTTTCCAAAATCGCAATTTTTCTACCTTAGGGATGGTGTCCAAATTATCAAACGTCATGAAAAAATGAAGTTAATTTCATTATCGTTTGACCCACTCCCCTCATCTAACAAAATTTATAATATTGTTCCACAACTGATGATTACTGGACACAATTCCTTATTCAACTAGTAATTCACACAAAAATCGAATCTATTTTTTATTAGGAATGTTAAACTGTTTATTAAGATTGAGCTAATTAGTAGAAGATTTATATACTATACAGATAAGAAAAAGATATGTATGGGCATAAAAATAAAAAATATTTCATTGATTACTTAAAAACAACAGTTATAATCTTTTTTGAATAGGGACAAAAATACCCATGCATTTATATATGCTAAGTGAAGATGGTGTGAACAACCAGAATCAACTAACCCAGAGGCTGAAGTCATTACTACCCTTTTACCGTTTTGCTGATGAGAAAATTTTAATTATGTACTGTAAAAGCAGATATCAACAGGTCAGGAATTACCCTGTGTGCAGTCTATTTATTAACTACCCTCTGCCTAGTATAGACAATATTACAATTTAGCAGCTCTGCCCCAAAGATTGGTGCCAATGACAGGATGGGTAATGAATAATTTCAAATCTACCACACTGAACCTTTCTCAACCAATCAACAAAGTGGAAAAAAGATGTGCCTAATACATGCTCATTAACTCTGCGGCGATGCAAGAGGAAATGACCATAAAGAAAGTCGTCTGTATTTCAACAACAAAATCTGATTGGCTCGGTGAGATCAGAGATTTATTGTAAACTGAAAGTGAAAGAGTCAAGACAAAGTTCTCTTTTAAGAAGTGAAGTCGGACGAATGCAAATGGTAGTCAAGAATTAATGTGAACAAGAAATAAACTAAAAAAAACAGCATCTCCACAGAGTAGAAAATCCTACAAACAAAACATGTTTTGATAAATAGCAGCCATCTTGAAAATTTCTTCTTGTTCGTAGGCATCAGCATATAAAAATTAAACCAAATCCATTGACTTGTATTTGGTAAATCAAAGATTACATTTTATAAGACAAATGGCAGCCATTTTGAAATTTGGCTGCCATCTTGAAAATCATTTCTCAAGCAGAGCTCCTGTGTCCCTGAGTATCAGCAAAATCTGAACCAAATCAATCCATTGGTATATGAGCTATCAAAGATTTCGAAAAATAGCGGCAATTTTGAAACTTTGAGGCCATATTGAAAATGTCTTCTCGTGCTCCTGCACCCAGAAGTTATAAGCCTCCAAAATTTTAATCAAATCTGTCAAAGAGTATTTGAGTTATCAACACACAGACAAAGGGACAAATCGACGGGTTCTCTATAACCCCCTCATACTTTGTTCTGTTAGTTTGGTGGGACAGCTATTTATAAAGCAGAAAATGCAGTTTGTGCAATCCTCACTGTATTCTAACTGACTTAATATAGGTAAGGTCAGACAAAATAAATAAAAAAGGGTAATTGTCTTTGAAAGAGTGAAAATGAGGCTCACTGAAACAAAAATAATATTTTTGAAAAGGGTAGTATTAACATGGAGAAGCTCACATTGATTTCACAGATGGATGCAATCAAACTAATAATAGAAAATGATATATTTATTAAGATTACAAAAGTATCTTAACCTCAAAGCCTGTGCAGGTGAATGGCCTTATAATGGAAACAGTTTGAAACAAACAGACCCGTTAGTTTGATTCATTCGCCTATTTTGAATATTCTGCATCAACTCTCAGTAGATAAATACTTTGTCACTTCCAGCTGCATTCACTTTAAATGGTGGCCATATTGAAACTGGTGGCCATTTTGAAAATTAGCTTTCAAGCAGAACTTGCAGCAAAAACACCTCATTTTGTGAATACTCTCTGCCACTTCCAGCAGCATTCACTTTAAATGGTTGCCATATTGAAACTGGTGGCCATATTGAAAGTGGTGGCCATTTTGAAATTCAGCTTTCGAGAAGAACATGAATATATTCTGCCACTTCCTGCAGCACTTACTTTGGGTATGTTTTACCCTTTTACTATAGTGATTTCAATTCTATGTTTATAATCAGAGTGTAGTGTTACTACTGTAACTTATGGGTCTCAGGGTTGTACTCACCTGGGTCATTCCTAGCATGTAAATATGGGCAATCGTCACCACGGTAACAGTGTCCTCGTCTTGCATAGAACTTACAAACCGGATTTTGCCCCGTGTCACCTACAATATACAAATAACATTCATATTATTTATGAATCATGATGTTGCTAAACATGCAGGACGAATGTACATCTTAAAAGATACATTTCCTGTACAGTTTACATGTAAAAAATGATATAGTGATTTCTAGGAATGATACTTATGATGTCAATTATTGTTGAATACTGACTGTTAGTGAAATCACCTATTGAAACTCTAGGCAGTTTTCACCATTCACTCCGTAATCTGTTTAATCTCAAGCTTTTAAAAAAAGATACATGCAATTGATATTGAAACAGGAATACATAATATAACAGTTTTATCTCAAAACATTACGAGACTAATTTTGTTCATCCTTTTTATAATCAATAATTTTGTGGGAAAAAGGCAATATGGCATCCCAGTTGAAACTTGCAATAAATAGTCACCATAAACCACAGAATAATGAATATGTATCACTATTGTATGTTGAATAAGTAACCCACTCACCATATAAATGTGAATAAAACAGTGATAAGGAAACGCTTTCTGAATATTGCAAACAATCTATTTGTATTCAGGAATTAATTTTGAATTATTTGGAGATTATTTCTTTGATATTGATCGAACTGACTGACACAACTGATAAATGGGAGAAATGATGAAAAAAAGAGAGTCGTTGAATGATATCAGTGTAGTGTTAAAGGAAAATTTGAAAATGAATGGGAAGAGATATTAGATTATGTTAAAGGAAAAATTGAAAATGATGAGCTAAATAACTGAAAAGATTTACTTGTTTTATTTTGGTTCTTATAAAAATGTTAAATGCATTTATAGAGAATATTGCGAAGAACATTTTCCAACTGAACTTAATATGCTAAAAGTGAAGAAATTGCTGTAAGCATCATCTATTCAAAAATATTATAACCACAATACCTAATTGTAATGTATTGTATTTTGTTTACCACCAATTAAGGTGAGCAATACCTCTTGGGTATATCCCATATAGATACAGTCATAATTTACGTAATTAACATTGAAGATAGACCCAGAAACCCTTCCTTGAAGGAGCCCTGTATTCTTTAATGTGCACTTATACATAGACATACAAGTTCACACCAAAACCTTTTGTACGAGGTGGTCCACAAAGTCAAACACCCTGAAGTACTTTACGCAAACAAGCAAATTAAGTCTTGTCTGAACCAGGGATCGAATCTTTTGCATAAGAGGTACTTGCGCTACCGCTGAGCTATACGGGTGGACTTCAAAAAAATTATTTGTCCATATTAAACAATTGTCATATGTGATGTCCACTCTTGATCATAGTACATGTACAAGTAGTTACTGATCTATTGTATACTCAAATTTATGTAATAAACATTTTGATTAAATCTTGATATAAATATACATGTAATTAAGTCTACAACATTGCAATTGAAATAGACAGCAATACAATGATCCTGAAATAGAACTCAACAAATTACACCATACCAGAAACATTGTTCCTGTGCCTTGATTCTTGCTGAGGTGATTCACTGATGAATTAATTAATAGTATTAAACAGCTAGGTGTGATTCTAATTAGTCCCACGCATGTATATATAAATGAACACATGCTCTTTGGCATGACAATTTTCAACCAGGATCAACAGTTCTAAATCATTAATCATCATTTTAATTGAATAGTCTTCCTAGAAGGATTGGCTCTATTACAGGAATTACATCTCTATTATTAATAATCGTGGTATATTACATTGAAACTAATGGCATGACTCTTCATTTTTTATAATCCCGGAAATATGATACATCCTTTGTTATGGCCAAGTTCCAACAGTACCAAATGATTGGGATCATAGGGATCCATGTTGAAGTGGAATGACTGATGGTGTATTGTTATATTACAGGAAGTAATATATAATATATGTGTATACAATTATAAGCAGATATAAATAGCACTGTTTTGTGAATCCTTCCAAACAAAATACATTATCTCAAATCGGTCCTTATTTGAAAATTCTGTGCAGGAAGAAATATGAAGTGGTAAGAGTGTCTCTTTTTGCCAAAATACAAAAAAACAATCGAAATGAAATGAAATCCATCAAATGACAAAATCCATCAAATGACAAAATGTTCCCACTTTAAAAGTATGGCAATTTCTAATAACAGATACCAATCCGAGAAAAAATGATGGCTATAACAATATGAGCGAAACAGTTTCATCTATTTTCTTCTTTTGGCACATTTTTTCATTGAAAAGATTCTTTCCATCATTACATAATATTAATACATGAAGATAATGAATGCTTGGTAAAAATAATATTTTACAATAACATGCTTTAACTTGACCAAGGAAATGCAACAATAAGTAAGCTACACGTAGCCCCATCCACTTCCCTAGCTACACAGTCTTGTATGGGCTGACCTATAGCAAGTCAGGTGATACACCTCTGTAAAACAAATTGTCTTATCCAGTTGTATTAATTGATTTTGTCCCTAATGAATTAATAGAGGAGAGATGAAGAGTCAAATACTCAAATACAACGGCAACGCCAAAGCGTAGCAAATCCCATTGAACAGCCATGGCTGGCATATTTACAAACATTAGTTTATAGCAAAAATGGCAGCCATTTTTCAAAATGACCACCTTCTACCAAAAGTGTCATTAGGCAGTGTGCCATGCCTATAGTATTCACATACCAAATATGAACAAAATCACTTCACTACTTTTTGAATTATAGTAAAATATGTTAAAATGGCGGCCATTTTGAAAAATGGCTGCCTTCTAACAAAAGTGTCTTTTAGACAGTGTGCCATGCTTATAGTATTCACAAACCAAATATGAAAAAATCGCTCTGCTACTTTTCAAGTTATAGTAAAATACGTTAAAATGGTGGCCATTTTGAAAAATGGCCGCCTCCTACCAAAAGTGTCATAGGACAGTGTGCCAAGCTTATAGTATTCAAATACCAAATATGAACAAAATCGCTCCACTACTTTACGAGTTATAGTAAAATACGTTAAAATGGCGGCCATTTTTCAAAATTGCCACCTTCTACCAAAAGTGTCATTAGACATGTGCCATGCTTATAGTATTCATATACCAAATATGAACAAAATCGTAAAATAACATAAAATGAGCGGCCATTTTGAAAATCGGCTTTCGAGCAGAACTTCTACCCCCATAGGGTATATGTGTACAAAATATGAGCAAAATCGGGCCAATGATATTTGACTTATTGCCCGTACATACGGACGGACGGAGGCATTCCCTATATCCCTCCGAACTTCGTTTCATGGGATAATAAGTTTTAGGTGATAATTGAATGGCAAACATTTAGACTTGTGCCAACATTCATTTCAGGAAATAGAAGATGGGATTGGAATTTAGTGTGCATTCGTTATATCCAAACTGATGATACCGTCAGCTGAAATAATGATTACTTATTAGAATTTAAATAGATTTTATTGCCCACTGCTGAGAAGTCCGCTAGCCACCGACTATCAAGTGAGGGTCGACTATTGATCATATCTGTTTACCTAATCTTTCTATTTAGTGATATTTTCATTTCAAATATCGCAGCCAATCCGATGTCTGACGACCCTTAAAAAGAATCTAGGCAGTGTGCATTTTTACCTCCTGTGAAATAACAAGTGGAATTTAGTAGTTATTTTGTGTTTTATTATCATTCTGCATCGTAATTCTATGTGATGTGGTGTTAAAATGTCAGCAGAAATAAATATCCATACGATAATCGAGTGAATTATATTTTTCGAAAACCCGTCTCCTGCTAAGAGTGTAAAAACTTGTATTAACATGCTCAAAAGTGCCAATGTGCACATCAATATCAAGCTAAATCAACGTTGTGTCTAAAACAGGTACCTGATCTACTCAAAACAGCTTGTCATTCACGTATACACGCTTAGCAAACACGGCGAAATGATCTGAATCTTGGAATTTCGTTCGAGAGCTAGTAATGTTTTCTCTGGTCTCCGTTTTAAGTGTTCATCAGACTTCACGCATGCTCAGGAGAAAACCATCAACCAAAAACATTTATAAATCAATTTTGCGCATGCGCCTTACAAGGGTAAAGAAATTCGTATTTATAAACGAACCAATTTGAGATAACCCACTATCAGTCGGAGAAATATGGCGATCTACGAAACTCACTTCAAAAAATTAAATGCGGACTGATGGCGTATTCTACTGTGCTGGGATCTAAGATTTTCAGTATAGATAAAGTATTTTATGATATTTCGAATGAGGTAAGTCTTTAGTTCGAAAGACAATTGTATCAACTTGAACAAAAGTTGAGTTTTGAAGAAAAAATTTAACACGCGAAGAAGTCCCATTTTCGTTGTACCATATTGACTGCATTGGTTATCAAAAACATCAAAAATCCAGGGGAAACAGGCATACATTCAGAAAGCATTTATCTAATTGCTATGGATAAGTGTCTTTCAGCAGAATTGGAGATATAGATAGATATGTCTCTCTTTACACAACTCGCTCATCTTTATTGAACAACCAAGGCCCTGTGACATTTTATATTTTTGGATGAACTTTATTTATAGATTCTATTGGAGATTTACAGTTTTGTCTTGTTGTCATAGATACTTCTGATGAAATTGCATAGGTTGTTTGTTTCCCCTGCATCATTGTGGCCATGCAAACATTGTAATTACGTAACAGCTATAAGCAGGGAAGTATCTACTTTGAGGTTCTACCAAGGCTTGGGAAAATTAGATACTAGAAATTGACAACATTATGTTATGCAATTCCAATAAAAGTTGAAAAATAAATATTTGAAACAAATGCCTGTTTAGAAACTATACATCTTGTTTGGAAAGGCATTTGCATGAGTAAAATAGCTCTTGGTAGACACTTTGAGTGATAACTAAAATGTTGGGGTAGTGGAAAGAGGATAATATAAGGAAATCATGCCATTTTTTATACCTCATTGACATCCATTACAGCTTTGTGTTCTTTAACCTATGTGAATGTAAGACAGAGTAAAGAAATAAGGAAATAAAAATAACCACAGAGTTTTGTGTAAATAGATTGAATAACATTCACACTATCATCCTTTCATTACAAGCATGAAAGGAAATTCAGAAATACAGAAATTACTAGTTTTGATTAAGCATTGAGAAAGCAACCTGTCTGGGATATTCTGATTTAATATTTATTTTCAAGTGTGAATTTCATATTTTATCAAAAATATCTGAGCTAAAATGTGCAGCTTTATCGATGATTTCTTTAAAGAGATCGAGTCGTCCAGATTTCTATTCTGGACAATCAGTAATGTCCCAATATAATTGCTCATAAAAACATCATATATACCTTAGATATATCTTGAGACCAAATCATAAGCATGATATCGACAATATATTGAGGATATCAACAGGACAACCAAAAGAACAACCAACTGTCAGAATTGAACGCAATACGGTGAAAACAGAATACAATGTTTTTTGGGGATTTATCTATATTGTATAGGAGTAATAAATATGGCTTCTCTAAGCCAAAATAATCTGAAGGAAAAAGCCAATCAGACTGGAACAAATTTGAGCGGGCTTTTTAAATTTGAATTTGAATTTCTATTGATGTAAGTGGAAATTCATGGCTAGGAACAATCATTGAATTGATACTGTTAACAAATTATCTCAAGCCTCAAAATTGAAAAGTTGATAAACAAAATTGTTTTACATCAAATAACCTGAAAAAATCAGGGGGTTACTCTAATTGTGTTTTTAGGAGACCCGATCTCTTTAAATGACATTTGAAACGAAGAAATTTATTGTTCACAAATAATTATATAGCTTCAATATGGTTTACAGGGATTTGTAATATTTACTTTCTCATTGTAACCAGGATTGTTCTTGTATTAAAGCAATAGTTTCAACAAGGTCATCATGCCCCAATATACACAATAAGGATTACTTATTTCTTCATTCTTAATACATGAAGAGAATAACTTAAGAAAAAAGAAAATGTTGTGATAATAAAACACTGATGTCTGCAAAACAAGATAAAATGTTCAATAAACGTCTCTCATACACTCACTTAAGACTTCTTCTACAAATTATTTATGATTTATTTTTTTCGGTTTCAAATAAAAAGCCAAACAAAGGCCATTCTGGTGAATAAAATTCCTATATGGCTACATGGCTTGTATGACCTTTCCAAAGTAAGATTTCTCTGACATGCAAGGAATATCTTTTATTCTGTCAGATATGGAAGGTTTATGGTTTTAAGAGGCATGCAACAAACATATAAGAAAACTTATTATTTTCATTTTGTGTCTTAATAATGACTTAAAAATTAATGATAAAAAGTTAGCTCCAAAATCACAAACACAGCTTGAACTACTGTATATGTTAAAAAATGACTTAATTCTCAATCAATTTTTCATTAATGAAGAATCATATGATGCAGATATTGCATAAGAACAAAAGAAATAAATCATATTAAAATTGTTACAAGGATATGGGCATCATGACCAGATTCAGAATGAGAACAGACAAATATTGTACCATTCAGCTCAAGACAGTATTACAATAAAAAATAAATAGAATCAGCCATGCTTTCAGAAAGATACATCCCCTTTATAGTTATGATAAAGCACCCTCAACAATATAAAGTATTGTGTTAAGTATTAAAGAAATATAAATTAATGACAATAACAATAGCTGAGAACACAAAATGAGAGAAATCTTTATAAAGAAAAATGGATTTACCATTTCCTGAAGTTTTATTGCCAAATATGCAAATCACAAACATAGAAAATGTGTAGATACATACATCATTTCATTGCAAATCTGTTTTCAATTGATACTAAAGCCTCATTTGCTATACAGGGGGGGGGGGGGGCCGTAGCTTCACAAAATCGATATAGAAAACCTACACCATACTGCTTAACACTATATTTTATACTGCATATTTCATTCAATTTTGGGAAGCTACAGATGCCCTCCGGTTGCCTTTAGATCAAATGTGACTGAGGCATTAGTAATTACAATATCTCTTTGAATGCCAATGATCAATGAGATCAAAATCCCATAGTTGTTTTTACAAACAGTATTCTGCATTTAATCTCTTTAAATGTACATACTATTACTATAGTACTATTATATTTACTATAACAGTGTTATTGATCATAGAATTGATGCAATTTGTATGGTATATGTATTCACCTTAATTGAAAAAACTAATTTTCACTTCATTAACTCGGCAGCGTATAATGCCACAATGAAGGTTAAATGAGCATGTGTATAGGTAGTAATGACATAAACATGTATAAGTGCCAATTTCAAGAATCATTGCGCATCTATTCTTTAGAAGAAAATAAATCTTGATACGATCTGAGATTGTTGAATATTATTTCCATTTACACTGTACAAATGCAAAATATCATACTGGAAGTGTAATTTAGATACTCAATAATTTTTCACTTCCATCACCAGGATTTGAATATCACATCTGGTAATTCACATAATAAACACAACTACCTTGGAAGTTAAACCAAGAACAGTGATCTAGACAGATTTTTCTCAATATGGCGTAAGATCCGAATTTTACCTTTTTGGTCAAAACATCTCAGTGTTTTATCATCACTTTTTAAGAAAGCTAACAGATTTTGTGAAATGTTATTCTCAAATATTCAACAGTTTGCAGTTCCCAATTACTAAATATTGGAGATTAGTAGTGCTGTATATTGACTAATCTTCATTTAATGACAATGAGTAGTCATTTCGAGCTAGCTATTTAAGGATGTGGTCCATGAAGAGCTGAACTGAATAAAACATATAATCACAGATATTCTTGTTATGAAATATTCTCAAGTACAAGTATTTAATAATGAATGAAATTATTTGCAGTTCAGCAAATGCTACAATATACATCAATTATATACTTTTATGGAACATTATCAAGAAACCAGTGATTGATATAAGCCAAGATTCGTGTTGAATATTATGAGTGAAAAGATTTCCCTTGTTTTGAAAACTTAACAAAATGACAACAACAAAGAGTCAGAATACAAATCAAAAATATTAATGTTTATTTAATCAAAATTTTTTAAAAAACTTAATAACAAAACTAAGTTTTATCAGGTATAATGTCATTTACATTTTCTAATATAAATCCTCTTTATTAAAAAGATTTCATGAAAAGAAATTAATCTATACCTTCAGTCTATACTGTACTGAAAAGATATTACTTTTATTGATGATGACTGATTGAAATATGTATGAAATACATCACATCTGGCACTTGAAAACTGAACTTTATTATACAATGCACTTTTGATAACAGAAACCTATGGCTTTTACCTCATCATGACATTACCTTTCCATCAATGATAAAAGTATGATGCTATATGCATAATCCATTTGTCTCACTGACTAGAAGTTGAAGGCATATTGAATTGAGTAAGTTTCACAGGACCTCTTGGTAACAGTCCATCTCTTGATTTAGGAGGGCCCTTGTATGGGTTCTTCATTGCTATTTGGCCAGAAGAAACACTGTCTTGCGAAACTGTTGTGGTTAAGGTAGATGTTGATTTAGCACTACTTCGTTTCCTGTTTGAATTATAGGCAATTGTTTGCACCTCTATTTCTTGTCTTTGTTCTATTACTCCAAATTCATCAGATTGTTGATTACGATTAATCACTCGTGCTAAACACATAGTATGTACCAACTCCCATATTTCTGCTGTGTAAGCTCCGTGAAAGACAGTATCCCAAAGTGATTTAACCAATATGCCAATGTAAAAAAACAGTAAATATGATTCTTGGTCATCTGAGTTAATAGTTTCTTTTGAATTCCGATGAATAAAAATATATACCACCAGTGGTGTATACCCTATAATTAATGATCCAAGATCCACTCCTGCTGTTGCGATCAGTTTCACATTTAGACGTAACTCTTTCTGGTAGTGTATCCCTTGGTTCTCTCTACTTGTTGAAAGTTTTCGAAGCTTGCATAATCCAAACCATATTTTGATGTCCAACAAGAGAACCAGAGAACAGCAAGTGACATATTGAACTGCTAGAACAATCAAATAACTGTAAGGGTAGTATTTGAAGAAATGATGTGGAAAGTTACAATTTTCCATGCTCCAACCCATTTGAGGAGAGAATCCGAAAACAAATGATATATTCCAAAGCAGTGTGAACCACATTATCATCGCACCTTCGTCTAACCGTGCACTGTATCTGATGGGATGCATGATTTTCATATAAACATCTAAAGTGTAAAATAGCAAGACAAGCTCTGATGCCAAGAAAGAAGTATAGAGAAATGCTTCACTTAAGAAAAAGTTCACTTTAGCACCTAATCCATATGTAACATGAAATGCTTTTCCAACTGCAAATAATCCCAGAAATACATTAGCGACACCAATGTTCCTGATATAGAGTAATGAAGAATCTTTCTGGTTCTTCACAAATCTTGACGCTACCAAAAATGCAACGTTAACGAAAATTGCTGTAAATCCTAATATAGATAAGAATATGAATGCTAATTTGTTTAGGGAAATGTTCCCACTTTGGTGGTTGTGCCAGTATACAAACAACGAGCAGTTTCTAGCCAGTTCCTGTTTGGAAGATGTATTATACAGTGTTTCATACGCAGCCACTGACACGTTCAAGTCCATCGTCATTATGTTTGATGGTATCGATGTTTTATTCAAGGAAGAGCTATTGTTTGATTGGTTGATTGTTATCCAAACACTAGAGTTCAATTCTGATGGTGTGGTCACTTCTTGAGCACTCTCTGATTGATTATGTTCTGTTGTGAAATACGTACTCTGATATGTTGTATTTAAATCTTGCAATAGTGCCACAGTTGTATTGTACATTGTTATTAATATTTTTCACAGACTCAGTATTCAAGTAAAAAATCCCACACATTAATATTGTTTTCTATAAAATACCATGGCTCCTGTCTTTTTCTGATCCACTTAATCTCTGTTTGGATTATCCTGAATAGTTAAAATCCTATTGTTTTCTTAAGAATTCCACACTAGAATAATTTTACTACGTCTTTCACAATGGCAACATACATGTAGCAAGGGTTTCTCTTATTGAAAAGCTTACTGAGTCTGGCGTCACATTGTGATCTGAAAAAATAAAATAATATAGTTTATGACATGCATTGGGAGGAACATTTGACCTATCACATTATATAAATGTCAGAAATGTACGAGTCATGGTGAACATTTTTCATCAAATTATTATGAAAGGGATATCATTTAATAGTAATTAATACAAACAACAAAACACCTTCTATGCATGGGCAGCTTGAATATTTCTATTAAGGTTAATTTCATTTAGGTAGTATCAGATCTAAAGAGCTAATTCAGTATATTCTTGTCTCATATATCATGTTTTGGCATGAACATGGAGATACTGAGATTAAACATTTTTTCCTCAAAATAATAAAAGCAGATATTCACGTAATCATCTAGGTCTACCTGCTATAGAAAACGATTCCGTTTTACAACCCACAGCAGTGCGCTAAAAACTTGTATTCTTCACAACTGAATCATTTGATAAATTATATGTATGGCCATGTTCCAAAAGGGATAAAATATTACAGATCTTCCTGATGTTATATTTCAAACAGTAAAGGAAATGTTTGTTTAGAAAAGGTAATGCAATTCTGTCAACCATAATGCCTCTGATTTCCCATTTCTATTAACGAGGTAAAACACTCAGCTCACTTTGACCAATCGGTGATGCCACTGAAATAATTATTTAACATTCAAGATAATATGAATTGATGTAGTACTGGCCATTCACATGGCTACTCTCTTAAGAACGAATACACAACTGGTGGCTAATCCACTAGTTCTCACAATTTAGTAATCACTAACTGAAGAACTTCCCTTTGTAGATAGGCAAACAAATAAATCAAAAATGACCAGCATAGAAAATAACAAACTGTTTAGAAAAGATAAATGTATGACTGATAAAGGAACTTGCTGGTCAATCATAATTTGTTCCGTTAATAAGAGATCAACAGGCAAAGGTTGACTGTATATCACTTAGGGAAATTAATCTGTCAATGATCTTGATGATCTGGACAAAGTTTTGTATTTTTCTGGAGGTGTTCATTGTATTTTATTGTTTAGACAAGCATGTGAGGGTAATGATACTTGAATATCAACATTTTTAAACAATAATATGTTTAATGATGCAAAATGATCACGTATACAGTTCCTTACATCTAACAAGACCATCAATTGTTTTATCATTACATATCGTACAAAAAAGGTACATCTATTTTTCAATGTCACAGTTCTTTTTATGATATGCAAATGTGACAAGGCAATTGCTGTCTTCCCTCCAGACATAAAGGCTAATATAAATTGATATTAAAAGAAAGTTAATTAACTAAGATAACAAGATAAAATAGAGATGTTATAAGTTCATCAACTGGCTAGAATGTTTAACTGAAACTAGATAGAGGGAATGAAATAAGAAGTAAAAGCGATTCAAAGCATAATAACAGTATATCTCCAGACTGATGTGACAATAGTATCTAATTAAGATGTCAAAATGACATCATGATACACATTATTAGGAAGAATAGGGAGTACTGCAGAAAGGGTCTATTTATCTGCAAGATTATTCTCCAGCTAGACCATGTACAATGTATCTTCTCAGTCTAATATATACGCATTTAAGGGCATATTAAATATAAATATGTACATTGAATTGCGCATCATTTATTGTTCATTTGATTAAGATTTGTGCTTAATCATTATATATTGTATTCTTTATCATAATTTAATATTACATCCTAAAGTTCACAGCAGCAATAATACTAGAATGCATTTGATATAAAATGTCTATGTTGTAAAAATTGTTCAAATACTGAGAAATAATCATGCAAACAGCAATTTTGTTTCATAATGAAGCGTATGAAGGAAAGCCAAACATTAATAAGACCGAAATATCTACTGTAGTGTAGATTGTTCAGTGAGTAAAACAGTAGTACATGTATGCAGTATCAATGAATTTACAATTTAGAAAATAAAATGTTCACCCTAGGCATGCTGTCATATATATATCATTATAAAACTTGCATTTGCTGATTTTAGGCCGGGATTTTAGGATTTGTGTGTTTGTCACTATTTCAGTCATATCTGGATTGCTTTCACGTATAATATATATTTCGTCTACATATTTTTGAAATACTGTGAGTAATGATGAATTTAATTGCTTATTTGACACATCAACAAAGACATACTGAAGTTAACAGATAAGCAGATTTCTCAGCACTGTGAGTTAATTGGTATTAGTATTAAGTATCACTGCCATTATGTTTGCTAATCTACTGCTGTTTTAGAGTCTATAATTGGTCTAAGATGGAAAGGTGTTGTTACATGTATCCAGTAATTAGGGTAATGCCCCAGTATCCTATTCTCATCTTGATGTTTCAAAATCCCATTTGCAAATAACACAATGACTTCTAAGATATTTTATTGAAAGACTTGAGATCGTTACAAAAGGAGAAGAATGTTTCATTTTCAAGTGTTTCTCCTGCTTTTTCGTATGATTACAGTAAAGCAATATAAGGCTATCCCATGACAACAAGTGCTTTATGTCTTCAATATTACTATGACATTTTAATTACTTAACAACCCAGTCATGATTCCATCCTCACAAGAAAATAATAAATGGTGTATACATAAATGCCATAAAGGCAAATAATGTGAATAAGAGGGCTTTAGGCTCCGATTATTCTATAATAAACCTAGATCTTTAAATGAATGTGGGATAATGTTTTATCTATATTCAATCATGATAATTAGTGAGCCTGTCACAGAACTATCTCAATCTATTTTCACTTAGTATGTTTAACACTATAATCTTATTCATATTCTATATATAAATGTACTTAAAAAACCATTTTGTTATTAATTTCCCAAGAATGTTCACGAATAATGTACCCTTTGCATTCGTTCGACTTCACTTCTTAAAAAAGGAACTTCGTCTTCACTCTTTCAGTTTACAATAAACCTCTGATCTCACCGAGCCAATCAGACTTCGTTGTCGAAATATGGATGACTTTCTATATGGTAATTTCCTCTGACATCATCGGATACTTAAAGAGCGTGTATTTAGCACATGTTCCTTCCACTTCAATGATAGGTTGAGAAAGGGTCAGCGTGGTAGATTTGAAATGATTTATTACCCGGGCTGTCACAGGCACCAATCTTTGGGGCGGGGCTGCTAAACTGTAATATAGTCTAATCTAGGCAGAGGGTAGTTTATAACTAGACTCTGCACGTAGGGTATGAATAATGAGTTTCATTTCCCTTTGCATGACTTTAAATTTTCCTGAAAGCATCTTGACTCATACTTAAAGTTGCTTCAATTTTAAAATGTATGCTTCAACATGTATTGTAATGACTTCAGTATGAAAGAAATCTCCCTTGGTGTTGTGGTCTTGGGTTGTGATGGTGGTACTTGAATGGTAGGGGAGAGGGTATAAGACATTGTTTCTTTTCAAGTTAGATCAGGATCTGGGATAGTTGGGGTTTGTTTTCATTATGACTTGTGTACTCTTATACACGTTTTCTTTTTCAGTTTTCCTTTTGGTACGTGTGCATACATATTCCAGGGATAATTTATTCTTAATCAGTTGATAGCTCTTTTGAATGCAAATGCCTTTTTAAGTATTTCTAAATCAATTAACATATCATAAGGGGTAATTAATAAGTAATTCATTACTTAGGGAGAATGAAGTATTCCCATAAGCTTCAGTACTACAATTTCTGATTCAGATCTTCCTACTAGCAGTGAAAAAAGAACTATTACAAAAGGATGGCCAAATATGCTCGCTTTATATCACAAAATCCTTCCTATGAATGTCGATGAGAGCTCAGTATGTCCTTAAAGGTAGAATCAGATCTAGAGAGCAATTCTTTAAAATAATAAGTACCTTTTTGTCTCATACCATCCCTCGTCACATCCATTTTCTAAAATCTCAAAGTGAATATGAAGTATGCATATGGATATGTTTTTGTCCCCAGTCAATCTCAACAGTGTTTAGGTAGCCATTTTTGATTTTTGATTAATGACAAAAATTTGTCAACCACTGAGTTATTTGAGTTATTCTACTAACAGACAATCAGACTGATCAGATCCCTACCAAACTTCAGTCACTGTGATAACTAGAAAACAGCAACACCAGTTGTAGCAAATACCATCTAACAGCCATGGCTGCCATTTTTGGATATGGCTGCCTATTAACCACATTATCGTTAGACAGCTTACTATGCTTCAAGGAAAGGAAAATATGAAATATTAACAAAATCTCTCTACTTCTTTTCCAGTTAAAGCAAAATTTAAAATGACACAATAGATATGGTCGCATTTTTCAGAATGGCTGTCTATTACAAAAATGACTTACTTTTTCAGTTATAGCAAACAAACGTAAAATTTTCAAACTGGCCGCTTACTAGTGTCATTGGAAAGTGTAATATGCCTTTAAGTATTCACATAGAAAATTTCAACATATCGCTCCACTATATTTCTAAATATTTCTAATTATAGGAACAAAGTAAAATGGAATACATTAAAATGGCTGCCATGTTTCAAAATGGCTGCTGGCTAGACAAATTGTCAAAATGTCAACAAAATTGCCCAACTACTTTAATGTAGTGGGGGGAAAGGGGGTATTAGACATTGTTTCTTTTCACGTTAGATCATCGTTTTGGGCTATATGGCGTCTGTTTTTCTTAATTGGTCCGCACTTGGAGTTTGCTTTTTCTTGCTAAGTTCCATTACAACTTTTCGTCCTTTCCCTCTGGCACTTGTGCTTATATATTAAGATTTATAGCATAAAAATTAAAATAACACACATAAAAATGACTGGCAGTTTTCAATTTATGATAACTCAATAGCCAAATTGTCATAAGAAAGTGTAATACACTCTGAAGTAATCACACGCAAAATTTCAACAAAATCGCTCCACTATATAATGAAACTATATCATGAAACAATTAAGCCTAAGATAATTTCTTCTAAAACCTTCATGAGATACATTGTATTATGAACAAATTGCAGTTTCATCCTTTGTTCATTACCTATTGTCTATCAAATTCATAGACATTATATCTTTGTATGTCTTGTTATACTGATACTTTTGGTGTTTCCCTTTTGGTTCTTGGGCTTACACATTTTGAAAAAAAAATCAAATGCACTGTAATATACTTTATGTTCAATCAAATCTATTGAAATTAATACATCAAATGCATTATATACAGTGTATACTATATTTTTAATTGAATCTATAGAATATCAGAATGATATAAGGTGTTAATAACAGTTGCATGGACTGCCATAACCATAACAAGAATTATCCCAATAAAACGGCAATCACAGAATAAAAGATTTTTCATTAAGTATTTTACTTAAGAGGTAACAGGATACTTTTCCATAATCAAGAAAGTACAATAAAATAAAACTGATGATTTATCTATTTGCTTTAGATTTTTTCTTTTTTCTCGTGAGTGATTAACCAAAATATAAGATACTTAATAAAATCAGATTTTCACTCACCTGTTTTACAAGTATGTTCTCAGTGCTGTCACTGAAAATTCCTTCAAATGTGTTCATATATTGTTGCTTGTAGATTCTCCTCTGTACTTTATCATGTAGAAACTATGAATATGATATATCCAATCTATGATATATTCATAGTATCAATTTGCTTCATCTTTATATTTCCATTGTTGTTCTCGTATGTCAACCGCACGTTTATAAATAGAGTTCCGCAAAGCAGTCAATATGGAAAAATATTACTCATTCCAACATTAATTAAAAATAAAAAAAGCAGAACAATTATGCATGAAACATATTCCATTAATTGCTCAATATTGTATATTACAATTTGAGTTAATTTGCTTATTGTTCCAGCTGCCTACACTGTGAATGAAGCAGCTACATACAATGACGCTCTATATATACATGTATGCATCTAATTATATAGTGTTTGTAGACTGGCTACACACACATGTAATTATTCTTTACCGGTACTTTGTTGCAGGACAAATAAATACTTCTATCTTTTTCCAACATCCTGTGCAAGTCTCTGCAACATGTCTTTATAATTGTATATTTCTTAATGTTTCATAATATATTGCTATAATAAATTGTCTACACTCCGATATCATATCAGGTATTACTTTCATTTTAATCTCCATCCTTTGCCCGGCTTTCTTAATATTCAACACAGTTAGCTTTTATTGTATATCCAAGTCACAATAGTAAAATCTAATAAGGTTCGCACATTTCACCTTGGATGTCTTAATGATATTACAACTCAACCTCTCTTATATAGCGTTGTGCATTATTTCCAGGGATTTCAGCAATGGGTTCAACAACCCGTGTCATTGTGACAAAAAATGATTTTCATTGATTAAAAACTGATATGATAAAATGCATTGCGAAACACCTCGTTCTAATAACTGAACTGAAATGCACCAGATAAAACTATAAGCATCAATAAGGTAATGCCAACAAAAGAAATCATCATCACAATCGGTTAAGTAATGGCAATATAATTATTTAATATATTGAGCCAACACCGCAGTAGGAGATGATATATTAGAGATTTGTTTTGTTCGTTTAGTTCTTTGTAATTTATATCTTTATGAATTGCACTTTGTTAGCCCTTTACAACTAGTGTTACTTATTTAATTCTGTACACGCTAGGATAGAATATCATAAGAATGATTAAGGTAGTTTTTTCAAAAAAGGGGTCAATACAACTGGTAATTTAAAAGCTATATTTGATAATGAAATAATGATAAGAAAGATGTAACTTCTATAACTGTATTTTATCGAATTGTATGCATAAAATATGTTTATTATAAAGTTTGCTTTTATAAAAAAAACACCTTCTGTCAGCCTGAAAATAACTAACAAATAAAGTAGTAGTTTAACATTATACAGTAAAACACTGAACATTTTTTACAAAATGTTCAATGTTGGTAGGTGTTTTTTAATCAATAGGTTTATTTCATAAATACATTTATACAATGAATGAACAGGGTTGGAGCGAGTCACCATAATTCTGGCATTTCATATCCCCATATATGGCAGGTGTTCACTACAGGGGGTAATTCCTACAGAAGTCAGTGGAGTATGTGCAAAGGAAGGTTGTTTACTAGAGACAGGTATTCACTAGAGACTTACTGTTTTACTGTATTAAGATGGTACTTCCATCAATATTTTTCTTAATCAAGCAACAAAATCTTCAAATCTAAAAATAACATTTTAATCACCTATGGTGAGGTAAGGCAAGTAGGAGATTAAGAAGATGTATTATCTTCAAAATCGGAAAGGTTCGTTTTAATTTCTTCATATTAGATTGCTCAATAATCATATTCAATTTTAAGAAAATAAAATTAAAGGTAATGGCCTCATTAGTTTTTGAGATTTGAAAAAATTAATTTACTTGAATATGAAACATTTTGAGAATACTTTTAGGAGGGGATTGTTTTGATAGAGCATTAAATTAAGTTTACCGGTGATTTTATTCTATGCCTATGTGTATAAAACTACCTTAATATCACATTGTTTTACCTCATATAGATGTGACGATATCTTTTATTATACAGTATATACATGACCCACAACAAATTATAAAAATCAAGATATTTACAATTTAAAATGAACAGAAGTCAAGCTCACATTGTGTTTATTGTCAAATGTTTTCTATCAATCAGATGTTAATCAAAACCAATCTCATAATCTTTAAGGCTTTCTATGGTCATCATTGCTTAATCAAGAAAGGTTTCATATTACTGTTATAGCTGAGCACTTCATAATCATAAAAGAACTCAGATTAAAATAGAAGCATCTGGGCAAATCTATTTATTGTATTATATTTCATTTTATCCATCACTTAAACGTGTTTCAGGTACATAAAGCAGGTCTGTAAAAACTTAATATTTTCATCAGCAGACATGATATTGCTTTATGTCCAAAGAAAACAAAACGCGAAATGAATATTCTAAAAGGATTCCTCAGCCAACATAATATATCTTCCCTCAGGACCTACGGCTCTTGGACAGATATATTATATTAGCATCGGGATAATCCTAATATCTTGAACCCCATATAGTAAAATCTCTATTTATCCCATACTTAGTAGTGGTATAGGTAAATAACATCACTTGTCCCCATCTGGTTACAAAGACATTACGTCTTCATAACAAAAGAGTTGAAATTTATTTTCATCATTCATTTGTATCCAAATATTCGAAAACTGGAACTAACACGATCATGAAAAATAAGCCAGATGTCAAAGAAAAAGGAGTCTTTTTGGTGTCTTCATTTCTAAATTAATGAAAAAAATTGCATGTATTCACTTCCAAAACAGTTTGCTAATGTTTCAATGCACATAAAGATCTCTATCAGATCATATTGTTGCTATATTCTTAATAAACAGTTCCAATTCGTTTTTTATTATTAAGCATAACACTAACATGTTATAATATTTTACAACTTCCCCTGCGAACATCTTAATTTGTTGAGTTTAATATTCGCTTTAGGGATTCAAGATAGGGTCATGATTATTGACACGGGGAGTTGACAAGATTATTCAACACCTGTATTACACTCCACGACGAGCATTTCAAACTATGATTTGTCACTGTTTTTTCAACAAATATTACAGCTTTCTTTCTTTCATTTAATGATGCAATCGAAAACTTGTTTTTCCATTAAAACAAAGAGAACCCTAAACTTGAGGACCCCTTCACATTGCAATCATAATGCTTTTACCCTAGAAATGTTAAGAAATAATCTACTTAGGGACACAAGCCTGTAGATGACATAGATCTGTCATACTTGAATATAAGAAGCTTTCATCTTACATTTCATAAACTACCAAGCACGTCAAGCAACAGCTTGTTATGTAAATAATCATGATATATCCATCTGGGTGTCCATATTTTCAAATCAAATTTTTTTCAAATCAAGCCTATTTCTGATTCAAGTAGGAAAATTTCAGTCCAAATGAGTTGTTCTATATCAATTATAAATTAATGTAAATGGGACAGAAAATGTTATTACAAAATGTTTGAGTTCTGTAATATTTTTACTGTATGATTTCTTTTCACTACTACAGTTACTATGATGTATAGTTTTCATTCTCTTTAAATTCCCTCAGAATCCTTACATTCCCTTTGCTCATTGAAGCTACATGCATTTGTGAATATAATGTCACAAAAATTGACTCAACTATTGAAACTTTGAAATCATTTGAAGTTCAACATTCCTGAGACAAAATTGCAATTAATTGTTTGGGACAACTGTATAGTTCTATATATAGTATATACAAAAAAATACATTGTATTGTTTCTTTTACATTATTTATCCTCATATGTATATATTGTAAACGGTGGAAACATGAACGATCAACAAGAACATTTCAATATAATGGGGTAATCTGGAAATTGGTTTCAAAATATGTATATATAAATAGGAATCTTCAACTAAGCCAGACAAAACGTGCAGGCTATCTATTTTCTTGTCAAATGGGGACTTTCTATCACCTTTTTTCATTTTATTATCTTCAACCTGACACCATAATGTACATGTACTGCCCTATATCAATACCTTATTACCTTTGAGTGTAATGATCTTGGAAATGTTGCTAAACATATAGGTTCATACCCAGATATTAACATTTCCCAGACCAATAAAAGTACGGTGTACAACCGTTTTGCTGTTACAGGCAGACTGGAGCGTTTCTGTACTGATGTCAAAGAAAGAAATGCTCCATAGCAAGTAAAATGGTGGGCTAAGAAATAATTACCTGTCCAACAATTTCAAAGATACTGCCAGAAATATATGTATATATGTAACTTGCTTATTATACACCATTCAATGAGTGTGAAATGGCAAACTGTTTACGTTAGAAGTAATCTGGAAAATTTATTTGTCCTCCCAGTAAAAGTAATTTAGAATTTAATTTTTTGTTGATTTGTATTTATAGCCAAGTCAAAATTAGAGCAACAAGAAATGTTAGGTAGATGTCCAAAATACAAAATACCATGTCTATATTGTCATTTAATTGCCAAAAACTGGTTTTAAAAATATGACATTCTCCCACTCGAAAATGCTCCAGTTAGTTTATTTAGGATGTTCATACAAATCATAATCTAATATTGATAAAATGTTCACGATTTACAGACATAACCCAAGCTACAGGTACATCAGGTGCATGATTGTATTATTTTTCAAATGGAACAAATTTTATATTTACATATGATGCAAAAGTGAAACAATACTCATGGTCATCGTCATTTGAATTGTAGCTGCCATTTTATTTAGCCCCGCAGCGTTTGAAATGCTCCAGAGTGAGTGTATCATCGTTTTGGTTTTATACCGTGAAAATACTTTTCCAGGAAAAAGTAATAGGAACACACTTGACTTAATTACTAAGAATGTTTAGAAATACTCACTTAATGAACAATGTTAACAATAATGCTTTATGTTATACATTCCTTTTAAGAGATGTTCGAGAATTTTAAATAGTAGCAAAAACAATAACTTTCTCATTTTATAAGAATATATTACGTGACTTGAGTTACCCAATAGTGACAACAATGCTATTGTCATGGAAACACATGCACTCTAGTATCAGTCCTGTATGGTATGTATGGCTTAATTAAGCATCTATTCAAATACCTTGGATCGTTAGCTTTAAAATGATATAAATTGTGACTAAACTTTGGGGTACTACAAAAATTGGAAAACGTACACCTTGCCCACGACCACTTAGACCTGATCTTCCAACATTTTGAAAAGATATTGGACATTGTACATGACATAATCAGGAGTAAGTATTACAGTAGTGATCTCCCCAGCATTAAAGCAAGTGGGCGCAGCACCTACCTGGGATTTCAGAAACAGGCTTGCACCCACCTGAAAATCCATTTGCACCCCAAAGGAACAAATTTTGATTGATTTCAGATTAAAACATGAAAAAGGGGCAAATTTCAGATCAGATTTCAGATTTAAATTGTGAAAATGAGAATTTTGCACCCACTTGAAAAAAAATCCTGGGGAGAACAC